CGAAAAGGCCGGTGAGGACCTTTCCTGTAGTTAGCTGAATAGAGGATCTGCTGGGCGGTAAGTCCCAGAGTAAGAGTGCTTTTACTTTAATAAGACCGATGGACTGGCCAATCAGTCAAAGTTGTTTCTGTCCATGTATGGCATCATGTAGGGTGGTCAACACAGATCTCACTTCGGTGATGGCTGATAAGATCGTGTCTCCTCAGAATGCTTTCCTTGTCTTTCCTTGTCTTCTCCTCTCTCTCTCCGTTACACAGCAATCTACCCTAGCTCACAAGCTCGCAGTGGTCCGTCTTGCCAAGCTGGCAATCCTGACAACAGGCTCACTCACACACATCTTTTCCGATGACACTCAGTCTGGCTCTCACCCACACTCGCATTAGTGATAATCTCCTATAGCGCACACAAATTTCGTCCGCCCCTTAAGACGTAATGGACAGCAACGTATACTCAACATACAGCTCATTTCTACCGCCTAGTCCGGCCGGCAGGATGCATCGCCGCACCTCACTCACACGCATGTCAGTGACGACCTCCTGCCACCACTCAGCAAATTCAGACACACATAACACCGCATCGCCAAGGCGGCGGCGGTGAGGTGTTCATTCGGTTGCCGTCTGGAGCGCACTTCCGAGTGGTGCGGCAGGGCAGTGGACCCAAACCGACGCGTAAGCAGACCGTCAAGTTCGACGCCATTTACTGGCGTGACGACTTCGACGGACAAGACAAGATAGGCGAGTACCGTGGGCTGGTGTTATGTGTGTCTGGCGGCTTTGTTGAGTGGTGGCAGGAGGGCTTCACTGACATGCGTGTGGGTGAGGTGCGGCGACTTGTCCTGCCGGCCACACTGAGCACCAGTGGGAAGGAGGTGTACATCGAGCATAGTCTCTTGGCCATTCTGTGAGCACTGTCTCCTGGTGTGCTGCGGCGGTTTTCTGAGGGTCTTTTACATATTTTGTGGGAGCTGTCATTTTTGCACATATGAGTTTTCTCATGGCCACCTGCTGCGGGTGAGTGTTCCCGTTGTCAGTCTCGTGTGCGTGTTGCGTGGCCTTCTCTTCTGCGTGGCCTACACGTCTGCATCAGTGTGCTTGGTGAAGTGAGACAGTTCTGGTACACTTGTGGGCCCCTCCATGTGCGTCTGATTCCCTTTTATTTGTCATGGTGTGTTGATGTTGTATATTGGGTCTCACGAGAATATAGAGACTTGGTGGGTCTGTCTGATGTTCGTACTAACCACACACTGAGGAAGCGCCTGACCCATGAGAGGCGCGCAGCATTGAGAAAGTGAAAGTCAGCTAACAACACGAAGAGGTCAGTCAAGAAAAAACAGCCAGCTGCATCTAGTAGCCCATCTAGTAGCCAGGCCTCAGAGTGACTCTGACTCACAGGATGTTTAGCTGTCTCGATGTATGCATGGTCTTCGGCTGACTGACCCGTCAGTGTGGTGTGACGCACCCGTTCATCGATTGATTGAAACCATCGAAATCCTCGCCATGCATCTCCCCACTGTGCACACACGCACTCAATAAAATAAACCGCAACTCACCGACAGATACATAGACAGTACTGCTGGATGACCGAACCAGCCGGCCTCTCAGTCATTGTAGCGACACATCACATCACATTACCTCCATCGGTCGCCGAAAGATAAAGCGACTACACCACACCCAATGGACTGATGCATGGATTATGGAAGTGTGTGTGGATGTACGCAGCAGCCAAGGCGCGCACACCCCATACCACCATAGACACGACCAAGCAGCTGGCTACAAAAATCCGAAATGACAGCTGGATGGATGGTGCCTCACCGCCACAGACGCACACGGAGCACACCAGGAGACAGTGCTCACAGGATGGCCAAGAGCCTGCACTCGATGAAAACCTCCTCCTCTTTCTTGCTGAGTCTGGCCGGCAGGATGACCCGCCGCACCTCACCCACACGCATGTCAGTGAAGACCTCCTGGAGCCACTCAGCAACAAAGGTAGACACACGACACTCCAGCCCACGGCGACCAAATGTCTTGTCTTGTCCGTCGAAGTCGTCACTCCACCCCATGTAGTCGACCTTGACGCACTGGTCACGTGTCGGTTTGGGCCCACTGCCCTGCTGCACGATTTTGTACTGCACTCCATTCGACATCTGCGCGAAGCCAAAACTGAGCAGTGACAGACAACACAGTGAGTGAAGACACGAGTGCAGTGTGTTGTTGGTGTCTTACTGTCGCTGCTGCATGGATGGCACTTGCCCGAGGCCACCGCTGAACGATCAACAGTGCACACAATCATCACATGAGTGCCTGTGCTTCCTCGTCCTACTCACAATGTCTGATGTGCTTTGCTGGCTTTGGGGCTCTCGTCGGTGAGGCCATACATAAACGCATTGATATCAAACGCATCTTGCTCTGTGGCATCGGCCATCGTGAGCACCACAGCCATGTCGGCCGCCGACGCGCCGACCCGTTTGCGACGGAAGTGATCGACCATGCGGCTGATGTGGTCGGGCTGAACGTCCTCCACTGGTCGCGACCACCTACACACCACAGCCAAAACACTGGTGGACCGTCGTGTATTGGGTGTCTGCTGGGCGCTTACATGTCAAAGCGGTTCCGAAGTTTGTCAGGCATTTCGTCGACGGTGGACTGTGTGGTGCCGATGCTCTCTCCACAGACCTTCACGGAGCGGATCGGATCTTCGCCATTCACAGGTCGCAGAAACGGTGTGACGGCCTGATGCACACACACAGACACATAGGCAGGCAGAGCATCGGAGGTATACGTGGCTCCTCCTCTTGCCGCTGCTTTCTAATCGTCAGTCACCTTGATTTCGTTGTCGAGATTATCATATCGTCGCTTGGCAGCCACCAGCTCGCCCTCCAGCCGGGCCTTCTCAGCGGCGAACGCCTTGACGAAGGCATCGGCCGCCTTGACGAAGTCATTCAGCTCATCGGGGGTGCCAGTGGCCGACAGCCGTGGATTAGTGACGTCACCAGTGGTTCCTGCAGCAGCCGAGTCGATTGGTGACAGCATCTTCTTGATCCAGAAATCGTGAAGCCCTGTTGGCACACACCCAGCACAGAGAGAGAGTGAGAGAGAGAGAGAGATGGACAAACGAACAAGAAAACCTCTCCCTCTCACTTTGCCCACTCACCAGTGAAGTTGCGTCTTCTGGCGTCTTCGAGCAGGTGGCTGACGGAGGCCTGCGTGTTAGCCGTCCGGACGGTGGCGCTCCGGATCGTCGCCGCGTCCAATATGGCCCTGTGGATGAACTTAAACGGACCAGTATCGATATCAACGAAAATCTACCACACACACAAAGATACACGAACTCATGGCCACAAGCCAATCAGCCCTCCCAGGCTCTTACTGGAGCTTCCTTGGTCGTCTTGCCATTGTCGTTGATCTTGATGAATCGGCTGTCCCAGCAGCCCGCGAAGAGTGCTGCCAGCAGCGTGCCCTCCACCCCTACTCCCTCCGTCATGTGCTTGCGCTTGACACTCATCTCAGTGCCGCCCACATTGAGAAGCAGAACATCATCAGGCGAAGAAGCTGATGGATCGGACGCAGCATGCTTCTCCCTGGCTTCGTGGATGTCCTTCTCGGTCTTCTTGATGCTTTCGCGCAGATTCCTGAGTTGTTCACCGGCACGTGCCACCTGCTTGTGAAACTCGTTGACGGCCTTGTACTCGCTGTAGCGGCCAGTCGCCTCGTCAATCATCTCCGACATGGCCGACAGACGGGCCGATGAGGCACAGCCAAAATGGGGCAGCCAAAGGTGTGATGCTGCACCAGCACACACGCGCAAGGATCTATGAATGTGGTGGATAGATATGCCTTCCTATGGCTTGGTGTGCCTCTCTCGACGTACCTGACACGCGGAGGTGCCAAGGTCGGTTGGTTGGTTATTGTGTTTAATGAGACGAAGGTCGGTAGCTCAGCCGATTGGCGTTGTTTTCCGGGAATCACGGGGGCCGCCGGGGGCGGGCGTTTCGAGTCTCAGCAGATTCGTGCCAAGTGCGGGATGTTGGCTTTGTTGCGCACGCACCGCAGCCCCCGTGTGCAGGGCCAGGAGGGCGGCAGTGTGAGAGACGGCCACAGACGCCCCAGTGGTGTTGATGAGGCGTGCTACATCCAGCTGCCGAGGGTCGACGAGGGCGACGCTGCCGCACAGCAGGCCATCCACCACATACAGACAGACCATCCCAAGGTCACCCTGCAATGCCCTCGTTGCACAGTGGCCAGCGGCTGCCTCTGAGGAGTGGTGTCTGTGTCCGTCTGTCCACTGCAGATGGCGTCGGCCTCGAGTGAGCACATTCCTCTGCTGCTGGACGATGGCCAAGGGCTGATGGAGCCCCAGCTGCCCGACGTCACCGATGGCATCACCAAGGCACCGAGACGCCTCGAGCAGGTGAATTGGTGTCAGTCGAGTCTGAGGCCTCTCGGACGTCTGTGCGTCATCTGCAGGTCCCCTTGGTGGGCGCCCCGGCCGCCGACGATGGGAAACCGACCCAACTGGCACTGAGAGACAGCATCAAGAAGGCCATCCGAGAGTCAGATGCGGAGGACCTGCGGAAGGCCCTCGACGGTCTGTCGCCTGAGCAAACCGAGAAAGTGCTGACGACTGGAGAGTGGACTTGGGGGTCTGCCATCCATGACGCCGCACGTACGCCTCGTCGCACCACAACACACAGATGATGGCGTGCCCCCTGTGTGTGCTTCTCAGGGGAGTGTAAGGATGTGGCGGTGTTTGAGGTGCTGCTGGACAACCGACGCCACCTGCTCAACCTGAAAGGCTACGTATCGTTCTCAGCAATGACACTCATTCTGTCATCAGCCGATCGATGTCTTCACTCGTATCTTCATTGTGTCTGATTCAGCTTGGCAGGACGCCTCTTCACTACGCAGCAGAGACGGGGTCAGTTGGTGTTGTGGAGAAGTTTGTCGAGTGGGGCGGAAAGGAACTGCTGGAGGCCCGGGACGACGTAAGGACGAGGGAATCTCGACTTGTGCATTGAACAGCATGTGTCTCTTTCATGCTGTGGATGTAGGGTGGCCACACGCCTCTTCATTGGGCAGTAGGTCAGTCACTCCTGCAAGTGACAGCCACACAAGTGCATGAGTCTTCAACGTGTCTCTCCCGCAGGCTTGGGCCATACCGATGTCGTGAAGTGGATGTTGAGGGTGGACCCACAGCTCTTGAAGACAAAAAACGACGTAGGCTGCCATCTATCGACCCTCGTTCCTGAACTGTCCCCGCTTATGGCTCTGACAGGACGGAAACACGCCTCTCGATCGTGCCCTCGAAAAGACGAAGCTGAAAGTCCTCGCTGTGATGGCTGTCATCGCGGGAGACGTGGCTGTGAAGCTGCTCGAGCGAGGCGCGAAAATGGAAGATCTGGGCGCTCAGGATCTTAAGGAGGTGGTGCCCTTCACGAAGTCATTCCTGAAGGACCACTCTGAGTCGCCGGGCCTCGACTGCCTTCGCTGCTGTGCCTTCTTCCGGAAGATGATGCGGACACGATAGAAGGACTCCCTCACAGAGTACGATTGCACTGAAGGGGAGCAACACAATGAGAACACCTGCATGTCTGTGTGAGTACTTGCAGTGACCTCGGGACCATTGCGGACCGGCAGGAAGTAATCAACAAGGGAAAACACACACGCCTACATTCTTCATTTGATTGGATTCATGCAGGCACTCATAGCCAACTTCTGCAGCGATACCAGCAAAGGGGACTTTGAACAGTCACTTCGAGCCAAAGAGAGAGAGTGGCTTGCGCTGCTTGAATCGGCGAAGCCCCTCACTGTTGTCACCCAAGGTAACACACACAAGAGATCTCCTTCTCGTTCTTTCCGTTAATATCTCCTCCTTTCCTTCCGCTGCCAATGATTGTGATAGCCAACTGCATCTCTCTCGTCATCGAGCATTGGCAACCTGTGGGGATTGAGCTTGCGCCCCGCGATGTCTTCACTACCCGCGTGCTGTCAATGCTGCTGATGTAAGGCTATGCGGGCACTACGGGGAAAAAAGAGAACGCATGGCATCTCTTCTCTGTGTGTGTTGTCAGGGTGGCCTTTGTGCTGCTGCACATCGAGTCAATCAAGGGAGACAGCGATGTGATGATAGCGGGGGTGTGGCCGGCGGTGTGGCTGTGGGGTGCGGTGCTGACGGGCGGCGGCTTCGTCGTACGGAGGCCTTCCAGGTAAGACAGCCGACGAGAAGACTGAGAAACGATGACATGCACCATGCTTCATGTGTGTGCAGGGCATCCGCCTCAAGGCAGCTTACTGGGCCGACTCATGGTACGCGTCAGGGGTGCAGAGCCAACCGGGATGGTGGCCTGATTTGTGTGCTGTCGGTGTGCATGGGACAAAGGAATACCATCGACTGTGCTGCGGCGGTGTCAATCGCTGTCTTCATTGTTATCCACTTCATCGGGTGGTCCTCAGAAGCAGAGGTCGGCTCGGGCATAGTCGTCGCGCTGCTCTTCGCCCTGCGCCTCCTCCAAACCGCCAGCCTGCACCCAGCCGTCGGACCACTCATACTGTCAGTGAGCCAGGCAGCCAAACAAAGATACACACACACACACACAGAGAGAGAGAGAGAGAGAAAGAGGTGCGACCGTTGTGTGTGTGTCAGTGCGGTTGTGAGGATGTTTTCGGACATCAGCATGTTTCTGTGTCTGTACCTCTACATCCTGCTGGTCTTCGCGGTCGTCTTCACCCTCCTCTCGTCCGACGAAGACCACCAGTACTTCGGCTCCTTCCCCAAAGCCACACTCACTCTGTGCGCATGGGACCTCATGGGAAGACACAGAGGAAAGGGACAGCTGCCTCTCTCCGTCTTGTTGTGTTGTGCAGTTTCTACGCTGGACAGGGCGACTTCAACGAGGCGCTGACCAACGCCATAGAGAGCCACGACACGCTGGGGGCCGTCCTGCTGTTCACATACGTCATCCTCTCGTCCATCATACTCGTACGTAACGCACCGATGAACGAGGCACACAGAAGGACAGCCTCCCTGTCTTCTCTCTCTGTGTCTGCCGCTGCGTATCAATAGCTCAACCTGCTCATCGCCATCATGGTGAGACAAACACGAGACACACACAGGACATCGAGTGGGCGACGGATAATGCGTGTGTGTGTCACCATTAGGCGTCGACGTTTGCGGCCATCGAGGAGACACAGGCTGCACAATACCAGTATCAGAGACAAGGGAGACAGACAAACAGCGGCACATAATGGCCCCTCTCTCCGCTGATCTACGCAGGCTGCTGCGCATCCGCGTGTTGAATGAGTACTCGACAATGCCCCACCACGAGCGCCTCCCACCGCCATTCAACCTCATCGGTCGGTGCCACAAGAGAGATGAACTGCATCCATCACATGTGGGCGTCTGTGTGTGTGCAGCTGTGGTCGTGTCGGAGCCCCTGCGATATCTCGCCTCCCTCATCAGCGAACAACGGAGAGAAGAGTCGGCACTCTGCTGCATTGCCTTCTGGTCGATGAAGGCCCTCTACGTCACCGTCGACGCACTCCTTGTTGGTGTCTCCTTCACACCCGTGGCCATCTACAAAGCGCTGGAGGACATCCAACGGACGATACGGAAGGGGCCCTATGGGATGGTACTGTGCCTAGTACTTGTCATCCTCGTGATGCCCCTTTTTCTTCTGTACCGATATGCCCAGCTAGTGAGGGTCAAAAAGTACACGAGATGAGACAGGAAATGGCCACGCCTCACTTCTCTGGAATGTTCGTGTAGGAGTCGTCGTTTTCTTCTGGGTTCAACGAAACTGACAGCTCGACAATGGCTCGTGAGAGGCGTGAAGCGCGGGACAAAATAAAAGACAGCATCGACAAGTGGATTGAGGCGGCAGATCATCACGACTCGAGCGTACCTGACGTCATGGCAGGTGAGATACACAGAAAGACAGGCAGGTATTAAGGCGTTTCACGAGGAGGGCAACTGTCTCGGTCTCTTGCAGCCCTGAAAGCCGAGATCCAGCCAGGTGACAGAAACCCTCTTTCTCAACCCATTTGTGTCTGCATTTACCTTGCACCTCAGCCTTGCGGGACATGCAGACACAACTGGCGGAGGTGCGGACACAGCAAAAACAAATGGAAGCATACATCAAGGCGAATATCAAATAGCCGGCACGGCCCCCTTTGGATGAAAAGCATACATTAGATGTGATGATCGTCCACGGAGATATCAGTTGCCGACGTGCCTCAATCCGTGGGACAACCTTCAGCTTCCAAACCTCATAACTGACCTCTGCCCGAATGGGGTCGTGGAGAGACATGGGAGTGGAAAGAGAAACTCATCGTGCGAGGGAAGCTGAGGCGAGATATGTGAGTGGGGCCAGCTTAGGCGGCTTCTCTTCGGTCTCCCTTGTCTGAATTGTTTTCATACCCACCACACTCACTCACACACACACGCACACATGCACACACACAGTCTTCGTGGATTGGACGTCCCTTCAGCAAGCCACGTACCAAGGGAAACGTCCGCCGCAACGTGCTTGTCACGTGCAGGTGCTCACCTGCCTCCCGAAGCACACAGGCAGACAGGGAAGAGATATGCAGGTGGCTTCGTCTTCCGTCGGCTCCTTCTCTGCGCATGTGAAGTTCGACCAGTTACGTTACTGTGCACACTTCTTTGTGGATTTAAGATGGTGTTTATCAAGCCACGTACGGAGGGAAAGGTCTGTCCCATGCACAACATGTACCTCCAGCGCAACACACGTACCGTGATACAATATGCGAGTGGCCTAAAGGCTACAAACGGGCTTATGTCCATGGAAACCTATGTACGGAATCCCTAGGCAGATAGGTGCGATAGGTGGTTCGATAGCAGGAGAGGGCGGATGGCGAACAAGCGTAAGCCCCCCAAGACAGACGGCAACACGCACAATGAGAGCCTATCGACACACACATGCATGGCACGGATACGCAGTACACAGGCACATACACACAGCCATCAAGACCCGTGGAGAGCAAAAATCTCATCTCCTGGCCCCTCCCCCTCCCCCTGCCGGTCTCTGCCCCTTCTTGGCGTCCTCCGGCGCCCTGATCATGACATTTTTCTTCTCGCCGGCTCTCTGCGGTGGGAATGGGGTGCCTGGCGGCTTGGGCAGCTTCCTTGCAGGCTGCTGGGGGACACTCGACTGACGGCTGGCCGGGGGGGACTGGTGAAGCGGAGAGGGGGTCGCCTGCTGCAGACAGAATGGAAGCCTGTAGGCGTGTTGAGTGGGTGTCTCTGTCTGTCTGTCTGTCTGTCTGTGCATCCGATGCATGTCTCACATCGCACACTTACGGTGTCTGGCATTTGTTGGAATGAGCCTGATGAGAGAAGGCCCGAGTCGCTTCGCTGCGAGCCGGCCTCCGGTGACAGTCTGCTCTTGCCGCCCTTCGGAGGCGGACGCATCCAACGCACAGGCTGAACAAACGAGCCAATCAATCCACGCGCATTTCTCTCTCAATCCAATGCGTGTGGGGATGCGGTTGCTGACCTTTCCATCTTTGAATAGCCCGTATTTCTTGGTCTTGTCGGCCGACGTCCACACGCCCTTGCCTGAATACGTAAAGACACACACAAAGCTCGGCAATGGATTCCTATGAAAAACGTCCATTTGCTGTGTCATCTGTCTGTTTACCCTCTTGTTTGCCGTCCTTCCAGTAGCCGAAGTAAGAGCTGCCGTCGGGCCAAGTCATCAAACCCTGAGTGAATGAAACCCACACATACACGATGATCCACCGTACGTGTGTGCGGTTGCTCATCATCTTACCTTTCCCTCTCGTTTGTCGTCTACGATTTGTCCCTCGTACTTAACGCCATTCTTGAAGGTCATGATGCCCTTGCCGTGACTCCAGCCAGCCAGGAACTGAACAGACACACGGACACACAAATGACTGTGCTGCGTGCGGCATTCATTCATTCATTCATTCATTGTGTCTCCATCGGTGTGTCGTGTGTGCGGCTGGGCTGACCTCCCCCTCGTAGGTGCGTCCGTCGGGGTATGTGAGGCGGCCGAAGCCGCTCGCATCGCCGTCAGCAAAGTCACCTGCACACACATACCCACGGATGGACTGATGGATGCAGCGTGCGAAGCCAAAACAACCGTGCGCTTGCCTTCATAATGGAGGCCTTCCCGTGTGGTCAGGACACCGCGGCCCTCACACAAACCGCCCCTGTATGCCAGGTAATGGAGAGACGGAGACACGTACATGAGTCAAATGGGTGCCTTCCTCTCGTTCACTATTCCATCGTTCATCCACCTGAATGTGCCGACGTAGATGGTGTCGTCAGGTGTGACTTCGCGCCCCTCACCCTCACGGTAGTCATCCACAAACTGACCCGTGTACCTGACAACACAGTACACACACAGACGCACAGAGACATACCAATTTCGACAGAAAGGTCAGATTGGCGATGTTATTCACCTTGTGCCGTCATTGTAGAATATGAGGCCGTATCCGTGCCTCTTGCCGTCTTTGAACTCACCGCTGTACACACTCCTGAACGAACAGAAAACGGAGACACGACACAATACGCAATACCACATGCAACCACTGGCCCCTGTTCGCATCCTCACCCGTCCTTGTATGTGAGTTTGCCCGTCCCGTGTGGCCGGTTTCTCTTGTCGACCTCTCCAGTGTACTCGTTGCCGTCCTTCAACTTGACCCGCATCGCATACAACTTCCCACTCGCCGTCTTCTTGGTCCCAACAGACGCACTCGACACATCCTTCCGCAGATTCATCAGCCTCGAAGGCAGAGAAGGGGCCGCCTGCGGCTGCTGCGACTCTTCGCTGGGTGGTGCGGACGATGCGGCGTCATCTGCCCTCGACTCTTCTCTCGGCCTGGTTCTCACGGACGGCCTCCCCGGCCTGTCTGACGGCTGGCTGGCCTGCCTACTTTTCCTCTGCTGCGATGCTTTGGGCGAGTCGGCCATCATGCACTGGTGGAACGGGGCGGCGAACCAGTCTCTTCTCTGCGTGTGTTGGGAGGCCACGTCGATGTCTCGCGATCGGCTGCTGCTGGCGTCGCCGGAGCCGCCCCTCTCCGAGTCGCCCACCACAATCTGGTTCTCGTCGTAGACTCTGCCCGCCTCCAACATGCGCCCCTCTGTTGTGTCTTGTTGGCAGCAGCAACGGCACAACAGAGAGCTGGAAGCGCCCATGTGGGGGTCACGGGCGGTGGGGCTCACAGGCTACTGGCGGTGGTGGTGCGGGTGAGGATGTTCCTTGGCCCCTCGGGGAAAGTGTTGAGGAAGTACAGGTTGTGGTTGTCGATGGCCCGGAAGAACCAGAGGGATATCACGAGGTAACACACCGTCCTGTGGGCCAGCTGGTGCTGCCGTATGCTGTCAATCAAACTGAACACCATCTCGGTCGCTCTCTCCATGATCCTCATCGCGATGACTTTGCACCGCAAAGGGAAGAAACTTGAGAGATGGAACCAAAGGGAATGCAAGCTACTAAGCTCGCAGACTCATTGTCGAACTCCCAACGCAAAATGGACGCCGCAACCTATCGCCCGCTGCCTCCAGACGTTCCGCCTGCACCGACTGTGTCATTTGGTGCAGCGGAGAGAAGCGATGGACGGACCAATGAAGACGTCAGAGATATCGGTAAGAGGCAGGGAATGAGCCATCGCGGGGTGTCCATCTGTTTGCTGATGCTGTGTGCTTGATGCAGAGATGCAGACAGGGCCGATATCGAGTGCCGTCGGGTCAGCTTTCTTCCAGATCGGCAAGACCAAAGCCCTCTCAGCTGTGTAAGGATGCAACGCCATTCATTGACTCATTCGCTAAGGAGATAGCGTCACTCCCTCTCCATGCATCTCTTCGTTTGTGTGTGCATGTGTGTGTGTCACACAGGTATGGCCCTCGCCAGTCGATGCGTCAGGCGAGGACGTCCAGCAGCGGGGCCGTCAACATTGACCTCAAGTTCGCCCCCTTCGCCGTGCCGTCACGCACATCCATGGTCAGTCGGTCACACACTGGGATGGTATACACACGGTGTGTGGCGGCCTGGCTGGCTGGCAGGCTGAGCGCGAGAGGTATCTGGTGGGCATGTTGAGTGAGGCGTTTGAGTCGATCATTCTGGTGGAACGGTACGCCAAGAGCGTCATCGACATCACATGCATCGTACTCGAAGACGACGGAGGTACACACACATTCGCATGCTCCGCCCTCTCTCCACCCAAGGCATATGTCTGATGGTCAATCAGGTGTGCTGAGTGCGTGCTTCAACGCCATATCGCTTGCAGCGGCACATGCTGGTCGGTGCGCAAGACACACGCACACGCACATTTTATGTGTGTGTGTGGCTACCCCAGGCCTTGAGATGACTGACATCGTCACAGCCACATCGCTGGTGAGTGAAACTCCATAAAGAGCGACAGCGGGACCTGGGAGTATGTGTGTATGTTGTGTATGTGTCCAGTACTGCATGGAAGTCCCCAGTGACACCTCGCAGAACGTCGTGTACCTGTCGGACCTCACTGCCGCAGTGAGTGCGTCAGCACCACGATCCATATAAACACCCATACAGCTGTCTGATCGGTCCCGGTGTGTCAGGAGGAGGCTTGTTGGCTGAGCAGCGGTCAGTGCACCGAGATGCACGTGGGCATCGCCACCTCGGGCTCGTCCATCTGCTTTCTGCACGGCACCGGCAGCCTGCTCAACCCCACATGCGCAGAACAGGTGCGGTGGGCCGTCCGACACTGCCGGCATCCATCATTGTTCTTTGTCACTGCCTGTGTGCAGCTCCTGGGCCGTGCTGAGGAGATCTGCAGAGCGATCGGTAAGTGCATTGGTAACACCCCTGACGCCGACATGTATCGTGTGTGTTGATGTCTGTGTCGAGTTGTGTCAGGGAAGGAGATGCGGGCATGTCTGAAGGCTGCCTACGCCGCATCACAGAATGCGGCGCCCGCAAAGACGACCGCGACGGAGTAGAGCGGGAAAGAGCCTGATAGCTAGGGCTGTGTGTGTATAGTGTGACCAATGGTGAACCGATGTGAGAAATCTGTGAATTACTTCCGTGCACCTGGACAATCAGACGTCAAGACAGCCTGTCCTACACTCTACGTCACATGCACCACGTCAATAGCACTCCTACGCCAACATACAAACCACACACGCACCCACATCTCACTTGCCCCCGCCCCTCGTTTTGCGTGGCCGGACAATCGCCGCCATCTGAGGCGGGTGGCCCCAGGAGCCACTGGTGGGTGCCGGCATGTTGTGTGTTGCGGCCGCCCGCCTCTTCGATGGTCAGCTGCGTGTGTGGGGGGAAGAGGTCTTGGCTTGCCAGGAAGGGGCAGCGGCGTGTCAGGGCCTCACAGGGCGTGATGCGGCGGCTCACACAGCTGTAGTACTGACACATCAGAGCAGAAGAGACACAGGGAAAGGGCATTCAGGTCTCATGTGACGGGATGTGTGTGTGTCGACTCTTCAGTCACCTCCATGGCCTCGTCATCGGTCCATTCGGTGACGGCCTTGCGCAGAATCTCATCACAGCGACGCTTGCAGCCCTCTACCTGCCAACACACAACACAACACAACACACACCACCACATATCCGTCGGTGTGTTCTCTCCCCCTCCCCTCCGTGTGTATCTATCAATCAATGACCTTCCAAAATGCAGTGTTAGGGAACCCCCTGTGCGCCTCATCTGCCGCCTTGACCACCACGTCCGATGCGTTGCACTCGTCGGCCGCACGCTGCAGTGCCGGCAGGAGGGCGTGGCAGTGGAGCAGAGACACATACTCGCCAAACACCTTATCAACCTGACGGACACACAACCAACAATGACACAGACGGACGGACAGATCAGAGGATGCACCACACCTGGTTTCTTTCTTTCTACGTGCGGACCAGTGCGGGAACGTTCTGTGCCACATCGGCCGGCATGCCCATGGCCCAGAAGCACCGCCCCTCAGGCAGCCGCACCACCCACGCCGCAACCTCAAGCATCTCTGCCACCTCAGACACACCCAACAAACCCCCATATCTGTCCAACCCCTCCCTCCCCGTCCCCCGTCCAATCTCCAGACACAGCCGGGCCTTCTAGGGCTTGCTGCCCGGTGCGATGAGATCGGACACGGACACCGACGGGGACGGCGACACGTTGGCCGGCTTCTTGCGCTTGTGATCGGTGTCTGTGGGCGGGGAGGAGGGACGGGGAGGGGGAGGGGCGAAGGTCATGTGGGGGGTGGTTCTGAGTGTGAGGTAGGGGTAGTGTGGACGGGGAGGGGACTCCATGGCCATGAAGGACGGCGAGTCGGTGCGCCTGCACACATACGAAGAGAAGAGAAACGGTGTTGGTGTTGGTCTATTCGTAGCTGGCACTGACGTACGTGTCTCCTTGTTCGGGCGGGGGGGACGGGCTGCAGGCGATATTGTACAGTGCCCCCTGCAGTGAATGAGCATCCACAAGACACCATGAATCCATCCATCCACACACCCATCCGACCACCCACCATGTGCGATGCATCCGAGGGGCTGCCTCCCTCCGTATCACCACCTCTCTGCTCCCCCTGGCCATCCTCCATCTCCACCTCGTCCATGTCCATCATGGCCGAGTCCCATGAACCCACGCTCACCGAGTCCTTATCATCATCCACCGCCGTGCTCACCGTACCCACCGTCAGTGCCTTGGTACTCATGCCCGGGGCCTTCTTAGATTTGGTCCTGCTCTTGGCCTTGGACCTCGTGTTGACCGCCGGGCCGTCCAGATCTCGCGCATTGCTGAGCTGCCGCTGTTTGCCTCGGGTGGCCTTGTGCGATGGATAAGGCGAGCCTGGCAGCACAACACAGCCCTGCCCGAAGAGAGGGGAGCCGCGTGGCGTCAGAGCCAAAGCCATTTTATTTTTGACTGGGACCCGAGCGTTTACAGAGTTCTATGTGCTGCTGCTGGGGGCGGAGAGGGGGGGCATAGGCGTCTCGCCCTGTATCCAGCGTGAGGCGGAGATGTGGGGTTTGCTGCACACACAGCGCAGCCCCCGTCTGCAGGGCCAAGAGGGCGACAGTGTGAGAGACGGCCACAGACGCCCCAGTGGTGTTGGTGAGGCGTGCTACATCCAGCTGCCGAGAGTCGACGAGGGCGACGCTGCCGCACAGCAGGCCATCCACCACATACAGACAGACCATCCCAAGGTCACCCTGCAATGCCCTCGTTGCACAGTGGCCAGCGGCTGCCTCTGAGGAGTGGTGTCTGTGTCCGTCTGTCCACTGCAGATGGCGTCGGCCTCGAGTGAGCACATTCCTCTGCTGCTGGACGATGGCTAAGGGCTGATGGAGCCCCAGCTGCCCGACGTCACCGATGACATCACCAAGGCACCGAGACGCTTCGAGCAGGTCTGTTGGTGTCAGTCGACTTTGATGCCTCTCGTCCGTCTGTGTGTCATCTGCAGGTTCCCTTGGTGTGCGCCCCGGCCGCCGACGATTGGGAAGCGCCACGTGACCTGACAGACAGCATCAGGGATGCCATCTGGAACCCAATGGCCATCAAGGAATCAGATTCGGAGGACCTGCGGAAGGCCCTCGACGGTCTGTCGCCTGAGCAAGCCGAGAAAGTGCTGACGACTCGAGAATGGTGTTGGGGACCGGATTACGGGGACATAACAAGATCTGCCGTTAATTTCGCCGCACGTCTGCCTCATCGCATCACTGCACACACATGATGCAGCTGAGTGGCCCCCGTGTGTGCTCCTCAGGGGTGTGCAAGGATGTGGAGGTGTTTGAGGTGCTGCTGCACAACCGACGGCATCTGCTCAAACTGAAAGATGAGGTAGCGTGCTCGACAATTACACTCATTCTGCCCATTAGCTGACCGATGTGTTCACTCCTGCCTTCTTGCTGTGTCTGTAGTTTGGCCGGACGCCTCTTCATTTGGCAGCAGCAAAAGGGTCAGTTGATGTTGCGGAGAAGTTTGTCGAGTGGGGGGGAAAGGAACTGCTGGAAGCTCAGGACAACGTAAGGATGAAGGAATGTCGACTGGTGCATTGGAGAGCATGTGTCTTGTTCATGCTGTGGTTCAGACTGGCAACACGCCTCTTCATCATGCGGCAGCAAGTCAGCCACTCGTGGAAACGACAGCCACACGAGTGCATGAGTCTTCAACGTGCGTGTCTCTCCTGCAGACGAGGGCCATGTCGATGTGGTGGAGTGGATGTTGAGGGTAAACCCACAGCTCTTGAAGATCAAAAACGACGTAGGATGTACTGCACCTATCGAGCTTTGTGTCGATATTATCTATCTTCATATGACTCTGCCAGGACGGAAGGACGCCTCTGGATTATGCCCTCCACTTGGACCTCGAGGGAACGAAAACGAAGATCGTCGGTGCGATGCTTGCCGCAGCTGGAGAGTTGACCATGGAGCTGCTCGGGGAAGATGAGGAGGGTCTCAGCCGCGTGCTGCAGCAGCCAGAGCTCCTTTCCAAAGCGGTCCCTTACGCGAAATACGGCTTCGGACAGTACGTGCGACGATGTGATTCGCTGGGCGTCGACAGTCTCAGGTGGTGTTCCGTATTTCGCCAACTGATGAAGTCACGACCGAAAGACTCCCTCACAGAGTGGGATGAACAGATAATCCAACCAAGGCAACGCAGATATGCGCCTCTTTTCGTGTGCAGTGATTTTGAGAATACGGCAAGTTAGATGGAGGTAGACAACCCCTAGCACACACAGCGTCTTCCATTTTTGCATTATACGACCCGTTCAGGCACTTGTGGTAGCGTTCTGTAGTGAAACAACAGGAGACCGATTCGGGCAGTCACTCCGGGGCAAAGAGAGAGAATGGCTTACGCTGCTCGAGTCCGCTGAGCCTTTGACAGTCGTCACACAACGTAACCCACACAGAAGATTTCCCCTCCCTCTCAGCCTGTCCGCTTCATGTCTCTTCGTTTTCCTGCTGCGCATGATTGTGACAGCCAACTGCATCTCTCTCGTCGAAAGGTATTGGCGACCACCAGTCGAAGCATCGATTCAGATTGCCCCCCGTGACATTTTCATTACCCGCGTGCTCTCAATGCTCTCGATGTAAGACGGTGGAGCCAGGCACAACGATGGAGGCAAAGAAGCATGGCACCTCTTCTCTCTCTGCGTATTGCAGGGTGGCCTTTGTGCTGCTGCACATCGAGTCAATCAAGGGAGACAGCGATGTGATGATGCCGGGGGTGTGGCTGTGGGGTGCACTGCCGACGGGCACAGCCTTCATCCTTCTGGAGTTGTTCCAAGTAAGCCAGACGAGAGGAGAAATGCCTGATCTGCACTTATCAATACTGAGATGCACTGTCCTCTCTATGCTCTTTGTATGTGTGTAGGGCATCCGCCTGAAGGCAGCGTATTGGGCCGACTCATGGTATGCGTCAGACGTGCAGAGCCAACCGTCTTTGCTGGCTCCATTTGTGTGCTGTCGGTGTGTGGGCACAATAATCAGGAACTACGTGGACCTGGCTTGTTCACTGGCAATCGCCGCCTTCATTACCATCCATTTCATCGGGTGGTCCTCAGAAGCAGAGGTCGGCTCAGGCATAGTCGTCGCGCTGCTCTTTGCTCTGCGCCTCCTCCAAACCGCCAGCCTGCACCCAACCGTGGGACCACTCATACTGTCAGTGAGCCAGGCAGCCAAACATACAGCTGGTGTCTCATGCTGTGTGTGACGGGTGTGTGTGTCAGTGCGGTTGTGAGGATGTTTTCGGACATCAGCATGTTTCTGTGTCTGTACGTCTACATCCTGCTGGTCTTCGCGGGCGTCTTCACCCTCCTCTCGTCCGACGAAGACCACCAGTACTTCGGCTCCTTCCCCAAAGCCACACTCACACTGTGCGCATGCGACCTCATGAGAAGACACAGAGGAAAGGGACACCTGCCCGTCTTCGTCTTGTTGTGTTGTGCAGTTTCTATGCCGGCCTTGGTGAGTTCAACGAGGCGCTGACCAACGCCATAGAGAGCCACGACACGCTGGGGGCCGTCCTGCTGTTCACATACGTCATCCTCTCCTCCATCATACTCGTAAGACGTACCGATGGACGAGGCACACAGACACGGACTCCATGTCTTGTCTCTCTCTGTGTCTGCCGGTGTGAATAAACAGCTCAACCTGCTCATCGCCATCATGGTGAGACAGACGAGAAACACACATACGAGACATCGAGTGGCCACATGACTGATCAACGCTCCTATCTGTGTCTGTCAGGCGTCGACGTATGCGGCCATCGAAGAGACACAGGCTGCACAATACCAGTGAGTGAAGACAACCAACGAGCGAGACAGATCGATGACAGCGGCACATGAGGACTTTCTCTGTCTCTCCGCTGTTCTCTGCAGGCTGCTGCGCATCCGCGTGCTGAATGAGTACCTGAAGCTCCCCCATCACGAGCGCCTGCCGCCGCCATTCAACCTCATCGGTCGGTGCGACGAGAGACATGAACTGCACCCGGCCCATCACATGTGGGCATCTGTCTGTGCAGCTTTGGTCGTGTCGGAGCCTCTGCGGTATCTCGCCTCACTCATCAGCGAACAACGGCGAGAGCAGTCGGTACTCTGCCGCATTGCCTTCTGGACGATGAAGGCCGTCTACTCAACCGTCGACGGACTCCTGCTTGTTGTCGCCTTCACACCCGTGGCCATCTACAAAATGCTGGAGGGGGTCCCACGAAGGATTCGGGAGGGAAACTATGGCGCAGTGCTGCGCGCGCCCCTTTACATCCTCCTGATGCCCGTTCTTTTTCTGTGCCAATACACCGGCCGTGACCTTCTTCTGCGCGAATACGCCGACCAAGTGAGGGTCAACAAGTCACATGAGACAATCAATGACCCCGTCTCGTTTCTCTGCAATGTTCGTGTAGGAGTCGTTGTTTTCTTTTGACGCCACCGAAAGCGAAGGTGAGAGTCCGGAGACGGCTCATGAGAGGCGTAAGGCACGGGACGCATTCAAAGACAGCATCGACAAGTGGATCGAGGCGGCAGACCATCACGACTCGAGCGTACCTGACGTCATGGCAGGTGAGACACCGACGAAGTCACGGCCACACAGGCAGACAGGCAGGACACCGGAGGGATGAAAAGGCCGTGTTTCGTTTGTGCTGCAGCCGTAACGCACTTCAAAGCGTACGTCAAAGCCGAGATCCAGCCAGGTGTGACAGAAACACTTTTCTAAGAAGCCCATCCGTGTCTGCGTTTGTGCCTTGCATGTCAGCCTTGCGGGAGATGCAAAGACAACTGGCAGAGGCGCGGAGGCAACTGCTGGAGGTGCAGATACAGCAAAACAAAATGCAGACAGAAGTGTACGAGCGATTGACGACGATGGAGGCGAAGATCAAATAGGCGGGACACCAACTGACTGCACGGCCTGTGGATGAAAAACATACACCAAATGAGACGGACGATCCTGCCTCAATCTGTGTCTCGCCCGGATGTCTGAAAGTCGAAGCAACGTTGGTTTTTCAGTAGCTGCTTGGGTTTCGCAACTGTTCACGATTGCTCACACAGCGTGTGTCTGCATGTAAAGGATCGCCAGTAGTGTTCTCCTACACACCCTCTGTCCCTTCATCCACGGCTGCCTGTACACGCAAACTGCACACCACCGACACTCTCTCTCACACACACTCAAGACAGACAGACAGACAGACAAATATGCAGTCCCGCCCTGTGTCAAAGTCGCTCTTCTTCTTTCTCGCTCGATCCGCCTCCACACGCCGTATATATGCAGGAGCGATATGAGTTTGTGAAGGCCTACACACCGGAGAGACAACACAGACAGACAGGGAGAAGCAAACAAGACCCACACACGACGACAAAAATAGCACAGATTGCAGATCTCGCGATGAATGCCATGGGCCATACCCACAAACACACGTGTACGTACATACATACACTCATACATACATGTATACATAAGTACATACATAAGCACATGTATACGTACACACACACACATATGTACACAGACAGCCAGACGAACAAATACCAACACAGGCAGCCGGCAAAAGGGACGGACACACAGTCATCCAGCCAGACAGACAGACTGTCAACGCCCCCGAATGAGCCGAAGCAGCACCGTCTTACGATTGCACGGCCATTCACTCATCCTATCGCCTCCTATGCAGCCATCACCCCCTCCCTCCACCCCTCCCCCCCACTGATAGGTAGCTAAGCCGGCTGGCCCGTCGGTCAGCCGGGCGGCATGCCCTGCTGCAGTAGCACCCTCCCCCCAGCTGTCGTGTGCTCATGGTCGTCATATTCCTCCGACAGCTCCTCGCTCATCTCCTCGCTCTCCTCTTCCTCGTCCTCATCCTCATCGTCGCCTGCGATCATCCTGCCCATGCCGCCCATTCCGCTGCCGTGATGGCCGTGGTGGGTGTGGTGATGAGAAGGGACGGTGACACTCTGCCAGACGGGCGAGCACTCGTCCCAGCCCCGTTCCCGCATGACCTGCTGGATCCACTGGCTGTGGAGCGACACGGCGGGGATGTAGGTGTACTGGGCCAGGCGGCTGCGCACCCACCACTGCCCGTTGTGGGCGGCCACGGAGTCCGGACTCGCGTACTGGTAGTGATACAATTCGGCACGCACCCTGAGAGGATGGAGAAGGTCAAGAGAGAAGACAATACACACATGGATGGATGCTGTGTGTGTGTGATGTGTATCAAGCGCACCATTTGGGCGGTGCTCCGTTGAGGAATGGGTTGTGTCGGAGCAGCGTGCTGATCTCAGCGTCGTTGACCAGACTGCATCACATGCATCACACCACACACCACACACATGGGCGACTCCGTGTACCTCCATAAGTCAACGTCTTTAGTGTTGGCGTACAGTCTTGCGATGAGGTGGATGAGCCAGGGGTGACGCTCAGGCTGCCCGAAGCCAGCGAACCTGCCCACAGATCAGACACACACACGCATCCATCCATCCATCCATCCATCCGTCTGATGTCTAAACTGTCTATCCGTTTGTTTGACTGCCTACCACATGAGCCAGTCGAGTCGGTAGTGATATGGCGAGATCCAGGGAGGGGTGCGGTACACATCGCCTGATGAATGGACACACAGATGAATCCGGGAGGTCATTAGCAAGACGCCCAGCATCCAGCCTACCAGGCTTCACTGCGATGATTCGTCGGCGGAAGCAGACAAGGAATGCGCAGAAACACATGCATAACACACAGGCAAGCAGGGCTATGACGGGCCGAGAGGGGCGTGTGTGTGTGTGTGGCGGCGTGATCACGTACCTTTGAACTCGTAGTCTATCCAGTCCTCCTCGTCATCGCTCGGGCGGTCGAGGCGACTCCCCTGAACCACCACCTACACGCATCAGGCACAAAACGTGTACGATCGATGTGTGTGTGTGGGTTGTGTGCAGATGCTCCAGCGCACCCACCCACTCACTTACTTCGTATCTCTTCTTGGTGATCGATCCGAATGCGCCGTAGGTGTTGACAAGACGCAACGACGTGAAGGACGTGTTCATGATCTGACGCTTCTGCACCACACGCCCACAACACATGCATCCCTCCCCCGCCCCCCGCCATGCACTCACTCACCGCCTGCAGGTTTCTGACGACTGGCACACTGAGGTAGCCGAACAGACACAGCCCCGCCAGCTCCTTGCCCCACCGCACCACCACCATCAGCACGTCAAGCACCGACACCGACGGACGGGAGGCCGCCCGTGAGGAGAAGAAGAGGGCCAGCACCGAGAGGTCGCGGGTGTGGTGGAAGGACGCCAGCTCAAGTGCCCTGTTTGTTGACAAGGAGAGAGGTGGTGACGCAGGTATGTTTGTCATGTGTCAGGCGTCGTGTGTCAGGTATGTGCCTCTGCCGTGTGTGTCGGCCGAACAGGCAGGCGGAAGTGACGTCGTCGAAGCCCCAGATTGAAGGGATGATCGTCAACCTGCCATTCGCACAACAGTCAACCATCACTACGTCGGTCAATGCCATGTTTCTTCGTCCGTCCACGCACCAATTGAGGAAGCTCAGATTGCCCGACAGAATCAGAGTCGCCTACACCCAAACACAGAGAGGCAGAAACCTTCTTCAGCGTTCACTCTTTCACTTTCACTGGGCGTGTATGTTTGCCGACCTGGAAGACGATCTGCACAATGGCCCCGAGTGTGCGTGGCAGCTGCACCGGAATCATCAGCAGGAATGGAGCCAACAGCTCCACCTATCACTCACACACACACACACACACAAAATCAAGACGTGAGCCATCCCGCTGTGTTCGGGTGGTAGGTGTGTGCTCACCACGTGGTTGACGATTGTTTCGAATTTGTGGAACCATAGCGGGGAGTGGTGCATGAAGTAGGAGAACGGGTTGGGCACCGGCTGTGTCTGGTAGTGGTAGCACATGGTCGTCAGCTTCACCCAGCACTTGTCGCCGCGGATCTTGATCAGCCCCGCGCCCAACATGATGCGGAACATCAGCCACCTGGAAACACGCACAAACGTGGGCATCGATTGCTCAACCCGTGTGCGATGTGTGGCATGTGGAGTGTCACCTGTATCCCCACACGGCCGTCCATGCGGGCGGTGTGTATTTGGGCAGCGGATCGAACCCGAGGGAAAACACCGGCACAAAGAAGAACTGACCACACACAGAGACACACACACACACCATAAGCATGTATCTTTGGTCTTATTGCCCGTTTTCTCTCTCACCGCCAGGAACCCGCATTCGAGGAGTTGAGACTCCCATCCGAACTGGTACCACCTCTGGCCGACGCCCACGATGGCGTGATACATCAGCCACATGGCGAACAGCACACACAGGTTGGCCCCGCCGTACCACAGCACCACACACGACAGACACAACCCCATAAAGGCCGTGCCGTCCAGCCACCTGCACACAGCCACACAACCACACACACACGTGAATCGATGTGTGTGTTCAGACACACTCACAGAGGGATGGGGTATGCCGTGCCCACCCTCCCGCCCACCTGTTGATGTGTGTCTTGTCGCGCACGAAGAGGAAGAGGGTGGGGTGGTCCATGAAGGCCCGCCACGTGTCACCACCGTAGATGCGAATCAGCTTGTCCAGGTGGAACCTGCGCATCGATGGATGGATGGATGGATGGATGGATGCGTGAACATCGATCTATCTACCTGGCGGGCAGCAGCCCTCTGTCGCCGATGAGCTGTTTGTTCTGCCGCAGGGCCACCAGGAAGGCCACCGCATAGATGAACGCCAAACTCCGCAGATACACTATCCGCGTCAACCTATTACCATTGACAAACACACCACCACACGAAGCGAGCAGCGATGCTTCTCTTGCAGGCCTTCCCATTCCTCCCTCTCGTCATTCACTTACTCACCAATATGAGGCTGATGGAATTCCTCCCTCCCAGACGATGCGCATCAATGTCCACACAGCCACCACACCCACATACGGCACCACTGTGTCAGCCAGCACCACGCTGCGAGTCAGCAACTCCTCCAGCGACACCGAACGCACACTCCACTCATAGCAGCACAACAGAAACCGCCCCAGCCACTGAGCGGCTGTGACGGCCTGCTGTTTGAGGCGATTGGGAAGGGAATGCACGTGTGCGAGAGCTGAGGGCGCGTGGAGGCTCTCGCTGCTCTCATTGGTGGCCTGTGTGGAGGCAGATGCGCCGTAGCGAAGCCGCAGCGATGAACTCATCCTCGGCTCTCCGGGATCTCGCGAACTCATCGATGCGCGCAAAGCAAGCGCTGTGGTTCTACATTCCTTCGCTTCTCGCCCTCAACCTCTTCGCGATTGCTTCTTCAAGTTAGCTCGCACCACAGCGGCGGGAGAAAAGGTCAAGCAAATGGACGGTGACGAAGAGATGCAGACACCTCGTGAGGTTTCATCTGGTGAAAAGTTCTTCGAGATTCACCAAGACCAGGTCAGGCGTGAATGGTTCACACCTGGGGTTCTGGGGCATCCAGGTGTGCCACGTCATGTTTGCTTGCCTGTCAGGTTGATGCCGAGAGCACCGGTGCCGACAGTGAGCTGTACCACTCCTTCCACTCGGTTGTTTCGGTGCCCGACAGGGATGGTAAACCAGAAAGCATTGATTTGGTAATCGCACACCACCACACGGGCCATAGGAGGGTCACCTGATCATGTGTGTGTGTGTCTTGTGTTGAATCGATCAGCCGAATGACGTCCTCTGTCTGATTACCGCGTTCCTTCCGTTGTGGAAGCTGGCAGCCCTGTTCTCTCACCCCGTCATCCGGGGCGCTGCAGCGCGCTACACCAACATCATGATCAGCGCTTCACGGCACACATGCGCCTTCTGGGAAGCGATGACGCTCAACTCAGCCTCGCAATGGGGCCGTCTGTTCCACCAGCTGAAGGAGATTGTCCATCGCTACCCCTGGTGTGAGTTTGGGCCAAGGTGGTGCATCGGGACGCTCATTTCTATCATCGAGGGGCACGCGCATGGGAGGCGGCAGATGATGCTGGATGAAGGCGGACCCTTCGTCGTGCATCCCGACAAGGGCTCATTGCGTTCCATCCGGTTCGAGAGAGCCATCGATGACGACCTGACGTGCGCAGACAGATGGGCGCTTGAGCAGAGACACCCCATTCTTCCCCCCGCCCCTCCCTCCCCCGCCCAGCTCGCCGCCCTATCGTCAGTAGAGGGCCTGCGCGACGAGTACCGACTTCTCGGCCACCGACTCAGTATGCCTGCACTTCAAGAGGTGGAGGCCGACTACCGCTTTCGGTGTGATGAGAGCACTCTCGGCGCGTTCGTGCGGACGTCTGAGAAGCTGCGGCACCTGCAGGTCAACTCAACTGCCAGCGACAAGGCCGACGTGCTGGAGCGGGTTGAGGAGGGCAAGGGGAAGGAGGGCCGGCTGCGGAGTCTGCAGACCATCGGTGTGCTGAGACTGGTGGGATTTGCCGACAGACATGGCATCAATCGGCTGCGGGTGAGCAGGCAAAGAGACGGGAAGAAGACGATGTGCATCGGTGGATGCGTTTGTGTGCAGAACGTTCTGGTGGCGAGAGGGTGCCGCTCGCTGGAATCGGTGACTCTGGCACTGGATCGACACGGGCTCTCCAGCAACAGCAACACCATCGACGCATCGATCATCCCCATCATGGAGGCCGTCGAGTCTCTCGTGGCGGCCGTCGGTGCCACACGGGACATCCTGCAGGCCGTGACCATCAGCAACCTGCGTGTGTCGCGTTTCGATGTGTCCCTGCTGGACGAGCTGCCCATCTACTCGTCGGTTTTCGTCAAGGAATCGCTCAAGCAGATGGCCTCCAACGCACATGAGGTCAGGTGGCTGTGCACACAGCAGAATGTGATTGACTCGAGCATCGGCTACGTCAGCGAGACGGCTCGAGAGGTCGCATCGGCTCTCACATTCAGCAAGGCCCAGCGGGTGATCGTCGGCGAGGCACACGGCCTGACGCTTCCCGAGGGACATCAAGACCCGCCCCGGCCAGCCGTGCTGTTGCACCTCAAAAGCGCGGCGATGCCCAAGGCGACCACATTGCGCGTGGGCGGGGCCATTGCGTGTGAGGTGGCGGGGATGATGGCCAGCCACATGCCAGCACTGGCCGATGTGCTCGTGGGGTCGGCCGTGCGTGAGGGGACGGTGCGGCAGCTGTTGCAGACCATCGGCAGTGGCCGGCGGCTGCAGACGTTCAGCTGTGATGTCGAGCATGTGGGCCGGGATGGGCTGACGTTGGGCGACGTGGCTAGTGAGCTGCCAACGATCAAGAAGCTGGCGGTGAACCTTATTGGTGAGTGAATGAGGGAGGGCGGCACGGGTGGACGACGAACATGCAGACACGGACATCTTTGTCTGTGTGTGTGCACGGCATGATGCAGCGACCATCACGACAAACCTGGATGACATCAATGATGCGGCCGAGGGGGCGTTCGCGAGTGTGGCGTCGTTGCTGAGGGTGCGTGGGCTGGAGAAACTGGAGCTGCGGTTGGTCTGTTTTCTGGGCTTCAATGACGAGCTGCGCGCCGAGCTGCGGCAGCTGGTGACCGACCGGTGCCCTAACGATGTGATTGGACGCTTCAAGGTGGGGTGGGAGGGGTCGACACTGGTGCTGAAGGCAGCACAGTCAACGGGCAGTAGCTGATTGGCTTGTCTCTCATCTTATCGGGCGGAGTTCTTTTTCCTTGGGTGGGAGTTGTGTTGGCCGGTTGGCCGACTGTACACGATGTGTCCCATTGTTGATACGTGTGTGGATGGAGAGATGGCTGTCTGACTGCAGCATCCAGGTCAATGAAAGTGTGGCTGTATACGATTACGGTGTATACGCATACCGATGAGACATCGCAATCAGCCCCAAACATTGGAGAGAACCGATTCAATACTTGAGCTTATTTTGAGCTCGCGTTGGGGGTAGTTGGGGGCGGCATTTGGGAGACGGAAAGCCCTGCAACTTCAGGGAAGTTGAAGCGGGCACCTCCATCCCGACTGACCATCGTTCATGATGGCCGCGTCCGGGTCGCTGCTCAGCCCCTCTGTCGAGCTGGTGTTCGTCAACGACTGGGAAGATGAGTCCGAGTCGACTGTGGGCGATGACCACAAGCTACACGTCAAGCGTGACGTCCTGATGACCTTCCCGCACTTCGTTCCAGTAACCAATGCATGAATCAACACACCGCACTCGGACAGACAGAGAGACAACCAGACAGGCAGAGGGGCGCTCCTAATTTGGGCACACGAGCTCTGCGGCTTCGTGTGTCCGTTCCATGGTGTTTGTTTGCTGTGCAGGCGCTGCAGGAGGCAGGCGGGTTTGGCGAGGGCCAGTCTCATCGCATTGTGATTAGGGAGGTGGACGTGACGACGGCACGAGTGGTGCTGCAAAATGAGTCCGCCATGCTTAACGCACTCGCCATCCACAATTTCCTGAACGCACTGAAGGCTCTCGACTACTTCCACAGCGGCTGCGCCCCAATGATGCTCCGCAACCTAGAGAGGAAGGTGAGAGGACAGGGCAGACAGACGTGGGCGGGGTGGGAGGGCGGAAGAGACAGAGAAATGGATGGCTGGTGGCTGCGCGTGTGGTGCTGCAGATGGTGCGTCGCGAGTGGACTGCTGACCCTAAGTTTGCTACGGAACTCATCCAGTCGATCGGCCATGGTGCAGTGGCGCGGTTCATCGCGACGAATGGTCTGTGACCGTGTCGCGTGTTCTGCTCCAGCGCCCCGAGCTGCTGCAGCCGTGGTGGTATACCGAGGACCCTTGGGCTCGTCGTGCAGTGGTCAAGCTGGTGAGCTACCTGTGTCTCCACATGGCCTGCGGCTACCTGCAAGCGTCCCCTGACAAGCTGGCGAACTTCCTGATCGTATCTACAAACGCACCAACACTCAGCGACGCCATCGGTATTTGTGGAGGTGAAAGAAGACAGACAGACAATCCATGTCGATTGGTTGGTTGCTTGCATGTGCGATTGGTGCTTATCCACTCATTCAGGCGATGTGTTCGCAGACGAAGAGCGCACCTTGGCTTCCAAAGAGTACCTTATCCGCCCCTTCGCCACCCAGGACAACTGCAGCCCCCTTTGCAACCCCTTCATCCTAAGGTGCACGTGCACGGACCCGCTCTGCACATGCGGCCGGCTTCTCCTGCCCCCCATCACGGCCACACTGGAAGCCAACTTTTCCTTTTCCACCTACCCCTATCTCAACCCTGCCGACAACCAGGAGCGACCGCTGAATGAGGCGATTAATTTCAATCTGAGGGCGAGCGGCACGGTGGAAGCCTCTCGCCCGGCAGCGTGCGCATGCTACCGAGTGCATGCAGTCATGAGTGTCGAAAGGGAAGGACAGGATGTGGTGATCTCGTCGTTCAAGTCGGCCAGCGGCAGGAAGGGATATGCGATGCACCTCTTGGCGTCGGCGCCGGAACCACTTTGGAGCCGCAAAGGGAGATCGTTTGGTATTCCCCCAATCTGTCGACGGACGAGGGAGTGGGGGAGGTGCTGCTCAGCTCCGTCAAGGCGACCGTGACGGTCTACGCATACCCATTTTAGACCATGGCTGTGCGATACCTACGGCAGTGCATCCTAGAAGCGAAATGGACCCAAGTGACCGAGTTCACCAAGTATGGGAAAATTAAAAGGGTTCGTTGGGGGGTGGTGGAAACGGCTTTCAACGCCTGTGTTGTGCTGTCTCAGGTCATTGGGTGACTACGACCGCTTCAGGTTGCTCTGTTCCCTCGATGGCATGACATTTCGTCCTTTCGCAGGTCAGTCGGTCATTCAGACAGAGAGAGAAACTTGACTAGGAGGCCTCTCGTGTGGATCATCGATCCTCTCTTGTCGCAGCTTTGGCAGCGTACTGCAGAGCACGGTCGATCCTCGAACCACACGAATCCCAACACATCGCCGATTCGGCCCAGGAGATGATCGGGAGGCCTGGACGTCTCTCGGCGCAGGCAGGGTGCGCCAACGGCATTGCCGAAGACGACCTGGCTGGCTTTCTCACCACAGTGGCCCCCATGCTCTCACCGGAGGCCCAGCGGACGCTTCACACTGCCTTGACGAACTCTGGCATGACAGACGCCGCCATGGCACTCTGGTCGCAGATGGCATTCCTCGAGGTCAGTCAAAGAGACACAAGAGACATACGCCCAACCGCATGTGGAAACCGCTCATCTCTCCTCCATCTCCCCCCCCCTCCCTCTCTCTCTCTCTCTCTCTCTCTCTTTCTGTGTGTGTGTGTGTGTGTGTGTGTTCATTGGACAGTGTGGTGCTTCATTTCAAGAGACATCGCTGTCATGGCCGGCGCCCATCCCGCAGCCACCCACCTTCCCCGCGCCCGAGCTCTCGGTCCCATCGGCCGTTGAGCGTCACCTTGTCTCCTCATTCCAGCCGCGATTCAACAAGTGAGTTGGCAAAGACACAGTATCGCAAAAAATTTGTGTGTGATTTTCATGGCGGCTGTGTGTAACTGGCTACAGCGCTTGTTTCCCTCACCATTACCTTCAGCAGTAGCTGACACAGAGAGAAAACACACGCAGTGCTCTTCTTTTGACAGGTGGTTTGGTGTTTGCAGTGCCTTCCCCCCGGCCGACGACAGCCCATCAGCGAGCTCCGGGCCCCCCCTCGCCCCCTTGCTGCCAACAAACGGCAAACAGGCATCCGACAGGTGAGACAACACTTGCGGCCCTCAGTCATGTTTCAAGCTGGTCTTGTCACGGCGCCTTGATGCTCCTCCTGTCTGCGGCTGTTCGGATGTTTGCAGCGCCCCCAACATTTGCCGGGAGGCCGCAAGTGATGAGGTTTCGCAGGCTGCGGACGACACTGGAGCAGGGTAGGTCCGGCTGCTGCGGGAGAAGCTCTGGCAGTGCTGCTTTGTAGCGGTGTGGTATGTGTGTGTTGGTGCAGATTAGTGCCTTCGTACTGCTTGTCATACAGTGACGACGGCCCCAAGAAAGCTGATCCGCCAACCTCGTCGTAGCCTAGAAATTGGGCTCTGCTGCACTTTGTTTTTGTGTTTTGATACGTCTTGGCTGACTCCGTGAGAAATTGCTTTGGTTCTGATGTCACAAACGGTGTATGTCTCTTGCAGGCAGATTCAATTAACGCGAGAGAGAGAGAGAGAGCACAGTACACACATGGATGTTCGTGAGAGCGATGGATAAGTGGACAATACAGAAGTATGTAGACACATACAGATGAAGCTTAAGTCGGACCGCATGCAGAAGGGAAAAACGGTCGTCGAATAATAGCACCCACACATGCCAGTTTTTCCCTTCTGCGCGTCACGTACGTGTATCAGAACGAAGACGGCAGGGCATCCCTCCCTCTCCCTCTACAAATACACGTGTGTCTGCGTGCCGTGGATGGATGCAGTGCACTGGCCACACCACATCTGTCTGTCTCACCGGCTGGCCACACAACACATAGCTCTTCGGCCAGCCATATGCATGTATACAGCGAGGAACACACACACGACCGACGTACAGATGAACGGCACACACCGACAGGGGGATACCCACCCTCACGCATTCACGCAGTCAAGGGCACATTTGTGCAGGCGGCCACGCTATGTTCCACGACCCCCCGTCATTAGTCTGTCCACCGTGCTGCATGCGTAGGTGCCTTGCCTTTTGTACGCCTCTGATCAGTGCAATGCGGTGTGAGATCTGACGGCTCGGAGCGGCTCCCAGCATGCACACACGACACGCGCACGAAGGTGATGCATTCGTGTCATCGGTAGATGTCGCTCAACTGCGACTCCCAAAGGCCAAGAGGCTGTGGTTGGGGGCCATCAGGGGGCTGGGCTGCCACTGGCAGTGAGCGTCTCGCGCTCAAGGCGAAGATGTGGGGTTTGTTGCACACGCAGCGCAGCCCCCGTGTGGAGGACCAGGACGGCGACAGTGTGAGAGACGGCCACAGACGCCCCGGTGGTGTGGATGAGGCGTGCTACATTCAGCTGCCGAGAGTCGACGAGGGCGACGCTGCCGGACAGCAGGCCATCCACCACATACAGACAGACCATCCCAAGGTCACCCTGCAATGCCCTTGCTGCACAGTGACCAGCGGCTGCCTCTGACGCCTGGTGTCTGTGTGCGTCTGTCTGTCCACTGCAGATGGCGTGGGCCTCGAGTGTGGGCCTCGAGTGTGGGCCTCGAGTGAGCACATTCCTCTGCTGCAGGACGGTGGCCAAGGGCTGATGGAGCCCCAGCTGCCTGACGTCACCGATGACATCACCAAGGCACCGAGACGCTTCGAGCAGGTGTGTTGGTGTCAGTCGAGTCTGAGGCCTCTCGGACGTCTGTGTGTCGTCTGCAGGTCCCGTTGGTGGGTGCCCCGGCCGCCGACAATTGGGAGCCCACTCTCGCACTGAGAGACAGCATCAAAGAGGCTATCGATGTATGGGATGGGGAGTCCCTGGGGAGGATCCTTGCTCGTCTGTCGCCTCATCAAGTCGAGAAAGTGCTGACAACTGGAGAGTGGGGCGGGATGGGGTCTGCCATCCATTACGCCCTTGGCATCACAGACACATGGTGCAGCACGTAGCTTCTGTGTGCTTCTCAGACAAGTGTTCGGGCATGGAGATGTTGTTTGAGGTGCGTGACGATGTGGTGGAGGTGATGTTGACGGCGAACCCACAGCTGTGGAAGATCAAAGGCAAAGTAGGCTACACTACGCCTATCGAGTCGCACACATGTGCTGGAACTGTCCTTGGTCGTGATTCCTACAGACTGGAAGGACGGCTCTCGATCTTGCCATCAACAATCTCGATAAAAAGCAGGCGAAGGCCCTCGCCGCGATGTTTGCCGCGGCTGGAGGTGCGGTCATCGAGCGACTCGAAAAAAGTAGCGAGAGCCTTAACAAGATGTCACAGCCAGAGATCTTTCCCAAAGTGTTTCCCATCGTGAAACGCGGCATTGGAGAGCGCCTGAGACGGTCTTACTCGTTGGGCGTCGTCGGTCTCCGCTGGTGCTCTAAGTTCCGTGGATTGGTTAAGTCTCGGCAGAAAGACTCCCTGACAGAGTGAGATCAAGAGATAATCGGAACAAGGCAATGAGAATCTGCGTCTTTTTCCCCCCCTTTGCGTGCAGTGACTTTGAGAAGACGGCAGGCTGGGTGGAAGTAAACAATCCCCAACTGTTACACACACTAACTTCCATTTCTGCATTTGATTGCCACTCAATCGGTTCAGGCTCTCACAGCCAAGTTCTGCAGCGATACCATGCTAGGGGACTTCGAGCAGTCATTTGAAGGCAAAGAGAGAGAGTGGTTTGCGCTGCTCGAGTCTGCGGAACCGCTCACTGTTGTCACCCAAGGTAAGCCACACGAGAGATTTCCCCCTTTCTGTCTTCAGTCCGATTATGTCTCCTCCTTCTCCCTGCTGCGAATGATCGTGACAGCCAACTGCATCTCTCTCGTCACAAAGCATTGGCAACTACCACCTGTGATACTTGAAGCGTTCAACTTTGTTCAGCTTACACCCCGTGATGTGTTTATTACCCGAGTGCTGTCAATGCTGCTGATGTAAGACGGCAGACATGCACCACGATGGAGGCAGAGAGACACATGGCATCTCTTCTCTGTGTGTGTTGTCAGGGTGGCCTTTGTGCTGCTGCACATCGAATCGATCAAGGGAGACAGCGACGTGATGCTGCCGGGGGTGTGGCCGTTGGTGTGGCTGTGGGGTTCGGTGCTGACGGGCGCGGGCTTTATGACTCAGAAATCTTCCAAGTAAGACAGGCAGACGAGAGGAGACATGGCTGAGAAGCGACGACACGCATCATGCTTCATGTGTGTCTGCAGGGCATCCGTCTGAAGACAGCGTACTGGACCGACTCATGGTAGAAGGCAGGATGGCAGAGCCAAGTGTGCTGGGGGCTCCATTTGTTTGTGTGCTGTCGGTCTGGGCATATTCATGCAGGAACCGACTCGACGCAGGAACCTCCTTGTCGATCGCGATCTTCATCGCCATCCACTTCATTGGGTGGTCGTCGGAGGCGGAGGTCAGCTCGGGCATAGTCGTCGCGCTGCTCTTTGTGCTGCGCCTCCTCCAAACCGCCAGCCTTCACCCAGCCGTGGGACCACTCATACTGTTAGTGAGGAAGGCATCTGCACAGCCATAGAGGGGTGTCTCATGCTGTGTGTGCTGTGTGTATGTGTCAGTGCGGTTGTGAGGATGTTTTCGGACATCAGCATGTTTCTGTGTCTGTACGTCTACATCCTGCTGGTCTTCGCGGGCGTCTTCACCCTCCTCTCGTCCGACGAAGACCACCAGTACTTCGGCTCCTTCCCCAAAGCCATACTCACTCTGTGCGCATGGGACCTCATGGGAACACACAGAGGAAAGGGACACATACCTCTGTCCGTCTTGTTGTGTTGTGCAGCTTCTACGCGGCTCTTGGCGACTTTAGTGAGGCGCTGACCAACGCCATAGAGAGCCACGACACGCTGGGGCCGTCCTGCTGTTCACCTACACCATCCTCTCGTCCATCATACTCGTGCGTGGACACTACTCATGCACTCAGTACCGATTGACGAGCCACACATAAGAATTCCCTGTCTTCTCTCTCCCCATTTCTCAATAGCTCAACTTGCTCATCGCCATCATGGTAAGACAGACACGAGAGTGTGTCAAACTGGAGCCCACTTCATCTCTGTCTCCCTCTCTGTCTGTTAGGCGTCGACGTATGCGGCGATCGAAGAGACGCAGACCTCGCAATACCAGTCAGGAGATAACCAAGAGACACACACAGACAAATGACAGCGACAACAAGGAAGACATACAGATTCTCTGTGTACCAATTTCCTTCTCTCCCTTTGCCAATGAGTTCAGGTTGCTCCGCATTCGCGTGTTGAATGAGTATTTGAATATGCCGCACCACGAGAGGCTCCCGCCGCCATTCAACCTCATCGGTCAGTGCGACAAAAACATGAACTGCAGCCGGCCAATCACAGGGGGGGCGTCTGTGTTTGTGCAGCTGTGGTCGTGTCGGAGCCCCTGCGATATCTCGCCTCCCTCATCAGCGAACAACGGAGGGAGCAGTCGTCACTCTGCCGCATTGCCTTCTGGTCGATGAAGGCCGTCTACTCCACCGTCGACGCACTCCTTGTTGCTGTCGCCTTTACACCTGTACTCATCTTCAAAACGCTTGAGGATCTCCCACAAAAGATACGGGAGGGGGACTACTGTGCCGTACTGTGCACACCCCTTCTCATCCTCCTGGTGCCCGTCGGCCTTCTGTGCCAATACGCCGACCAGGTGAGGGTCACAGCACAAGTCAGATGAGACAAGCAATAGCATTGTCTCATTTCTCTGGAATGGTCAGACGGTGTCGTTGTTTTCTTCTGACAATTTGTCTTCTGACGCCACCGAAACTGACAGTCCGTGGATGGCTGACGAAAGGCGTGAAGCACGGGGCGCATTCAAGGACAGCATAGACAAGTGGATTGAGGCCGCAGACCACCACGACTCAACGTCTCCCGACATCATGGCAGGTGACACACGGACATGAACACGCTTACAGACCCACCACGGCAGAGGCGAGCACGCTTCATGCCGGTCACTCGCTGTGCTGCAGCCCTCAGAGATCCTGGCAGGTGATGGATGAAGATGGTCTTTGTTGAGCGTGCACCCATATCTGTGTTTGCGTTGCACCTCAGTCTTGACGAGGATGGATGAGCGACAGGCGTCGATGGACGAGCGATTGACCAAGATGGAGGCGAAGATCAAATAGAAGCGAGACATTAGCTGCATGGCTACAGAGCGGATGAGTTGTCACCTGCCAGTGGATGAAAAAACATCGAATGAGATGGATGGCCAATGCACGCACAGAGACATTGAGCTGGTCAACTCGAACAGTCGTTAAACGCAGCACAACAATTTCAGGGACCACGAGAGTTTCAGTAATTTTGTGACGAACCCTCGTTGCAAACGCCGACTCAGTTGAAGGGCGGCAAGACAGCGAGACAGACACAGACACAGGCATGACAGAGAGACCGTGTACATGCCGCCTATCTTTTGTACATCGCCAAGTGCCAACGGAAATCGGCGGCCTTCGTCCATGTGTGATCGTTGCCTTCTTTAGGTGTTTGCAATCACTTAATCGATGAAGGCGCACACACAAAGACGTCCACTCTCGCACACACATACACACACAGAAGCGCGAACTCCTTTTGTCACTTCGCACACCACACACCAAAAGACCTGTCTGTCTGATTGTCTGCGTCCCGTTCATTCATTCAAGGTTGCTTGCTACCCACCTGACGTCATTCGCCCGGTCGCACGCACCAGACCCTTTTGTCGGCACGCACACACAGGCAGCAATGGCTGTCTAGAGCTCACACTGAAAAACACACTGACGACGCAGAACACTCTACCTCAGCCTGTCTGTATCTCTCTCTGATCGACCTACATATCAGCTGTCCCGCCACCTACATGCTTACGGAACTTACAAAGCCGCCTGGCTGTCTACGAGTAGCTAATGTATCCCAGCACACATAGCATCAATCATGGTCATCCGTCCTCTTGCTGGTCATTCGATGCCCTGCACCTCGATGCCCCCACCGTCCTCCTTTTTGCCCTCCACCCGCTCGATGATCCGCTTGTCGGCCTCCTTCTCTTGCACCTTGCCCAGCCCTTGGACCACTCCCTGGTGCGGGTCACCGGGTTGCTCCTCGGCGACTGTCTTGATGCGGTTGAGTTGGTCAAACACCTCCTGGCTGGGGGCAGAGGCACGACCCCCAATGCCGCGCGTCACGGGCAAGTCCTGGCCCGCTCTCTGCATGAGCACCTCGAGTGTTGTGCGAGCGCGCAGCTGCTTGACGTTGTTCACACGGTCGTCAAACTCGGCTGCCGTGGCCATCGCAGCCACCTCTTGCGCCATCTCCTTCTCCTTGACGAGCACGTCCATCGCTGAAAAAAGACAGAACGAGAGAAAGCGATAACGGCAAAAGGAGCGTCTCTGTGTGTACGTCTGTGTGTGTCAGGTCTCCGGGCTGCCTGAGTTGGCGCGTACTTGCATTGGGCGAGTCGGTGTAGCTGTAGAAGATCTTCAGCCAAGCGTGATACTGGCTTTGCTTGTCCCAGAAGCTGCGCATGTGGCTGAATGGGTCCTGAGCGTCGTCCGCGATGGACTGAGGCTTCTTCTTAGTGTCAGCGGCCCCTTGTTCCAGCTCTCTCTCAGCCTGGTTGAGCATCTCAATGGTGGTCAAGCCTGCATGCACGCAGCCCCCATCGACCCCCCACGCTCCCTCCCTCCCTCCTTCCTCTGTCTCGCCGCTCACCAGATGGGTCAATCTCGTGCTGCCGATCTGCCAGTATCGACAAGATGAAGTTCCGCCGCGCTTCGAACAAGACTGCCATAATATTGAGGACCGTGGCCACTGTGCTGGCGTCATCGTCGTGGGGATTCTGCTTCAGCTGTTCAAGGCTGTACTTGTTTCCGCGATAGCAGTCACCGATTTTAGCCCAGTACACACTCACCAGGTGCCAACACAGCGTGTCTGCACACACACTTTCATGCACGCGCGCCGTGCCTGCCGGCTGCATCTGCTCTCACGTGCGTACCATTTCCGCGAAGGCGCTGTGTGAGGTCCAGAGTAGCAGCAGCCACTTGCTGCTCTGCTGCGGCCATCGCCTTTGCGTGTGTGGCATTCTCCGTAGCGTCGATATCGAGGTCGCAAAGTGCAAAGTACCGACCACGCGCTAAATCCCACACCTTGAAGGGGTTCGCGATCTCTGCACACGGAAGCACACACACCGTATGTGAACACACACACACCCCATGCAGCACAGCACATCCTTACGCTCTGTCACCTATCTGCTCGGGAGAGGGCTCCTGTGTATAAACACGCGTGTAGTTCTGTCAACATGATCATGACACACAGATCCCACACAGGCGCCCGCCCTTGCCACCTACCAACGCGAAGCGACGTGTCGAGGCCCGAGGGCGATGGCGCCGCAGGAAGCCGACCGGGCGCTGCAGCTGAGGCGCCAGAAAGGCGCTCTTGTGGAGAGAGGCAGCCGAGTGGAAGGCCACAAGCCACAGCAGCATTGTAGGCAGTCGACAGAAGATGAGAGGGTGAAGACCTAAGGCGAAGGAACGCATTGAGAGCATAGCTTGAAGCAGATCTGCGTACGTCGGTGCGTACCGATGCCAATCAGCGATGTTTGTGGTATGTCGGTTCCTTTTCTGAGCTCCACCAGCCCTTTCAGGGCTGCTGTGCGAGCTCAAGCCCCCACCCTCGATGAGCCTTTTGCGCCTTTCTTTCGCTTGTTTCTTTCACTTGATAGGTGGATGGTGACGATGTGGAGACAGTCATGGGCTAAAATCGCAAAACGAATTTGCCAGGTTTCAGAAATTCAGCAATTCAATCCTCACTCGATCCAAATTGAATTCGCCGTCCGAATTCTTGGACATGAGGGGGTCTGGGGCACCTTTAAGCACACTCACGACTTGTCACAAGCCTCGTCAAGGGGTACGTGGCGAGAGAATGAAGGCTCGTTCCCTTGGCCGCTGCGAGCTTTGCGACACACGGCTTCAAAAAAGAAAAAAGTTCCAAAACAGCCGTATTGTCGCGCTCGTCCCAGGCCGCGTTTTGAGCCAAGCTTGCAGTAGTGACCACACGCATCGCGAAATCGGACGTGAACTTTAACGACATCGCGATCAAAATGAATTCTGCGACGGATGCGTCGCATGCATATCAGTCATTTGAAGTCTGTCAGCGTCTCGTCAAGTCGCTTCAGAAACACTTGCAACTCATCTTTTGTCGCCCCTACACACACGCACACACACACCATGTGAGTTGACACAAGCAGCCAGCCACCCATCCATCGTTCTGCGCTGGCCTACCAATGGCACATGCGACAGTGAGGTAGGCGAATGGATAGTCGTCACTGTGGGCGCCGTAGTTGGCGAACCGGTGGCCACTCAACACCTTCACATGGCGACGGCCGTCATCACTCTCACCGCCGCCGCTGTTCTCTGCAGCGCTGGCCGATGCTGATGTGTTGTTGTCGTCATGGCTGCCGTCGATGAGCTTGGCCTTGACGCGTGTGGGGGGGTGGGCCTCAGCGAGCACCACACGGGGACCGCTGCACCTGCACACACACACAGATGCATTCACACCCAGCAGAGGTGTGCGTTGCTGGTTGGCATCAAGCGTACGTGCCTGTGTGTGAAGAGCATGGAGCCGAGTGAGGTCAGCGATCGGCCATTGCTGTCGACACCACCATCTTCAGCAGCAGTGGGGCCATTTGTTGATCCACCTCTGGTCGTGCCGTGCTTGAGTGCCGTGATGTCCATGACGAATGAGATCTTGTTGGCCGGACAGTCGAGCATGCGGCAACCTGACACACACATAAACACACAGATGCTCACATGGACGGACCCCTCCCTCCCTCCCTCCCTCACCGTGTTTGTGTGCGAGTGTGTCCATCTCTTGTTTGAACCACACGGCCAGCTCCTTCCGGCTGTCCCTCAGTCGCCGCCAGCCGTCGGCCCCCATAGACAGCAGCGTCATGAACAAGTCCAAAGTGGGACTCATCGACGCTCGGCCGGCATACAGCTGCGACAACGAATCGATAAATCTACATCAGACAGACAGGAAGACACATGGGAACGATCCAGTGGTGTGCCGGGAGTGATGAATTACTTGGTGTCGCCACTCGCCACAATGGAGCCACCTGCAGTGGACAGAATGCAGACAGGCAGGCAGTCATATCGACCATCTGCAGTGGCGTGGTTTGCATACCGACGGGGACCATGAAGTTTTTGTCCGTCGACTGGACGAATGCGTCGACCCTGCCGGTGCGGATGGCCGTCTCCACCAGGTGGCAGCACTTGGAGCACTGCAGCCCATAGGCATTGTTGACGATGTGCGGCACGCCCACACGACTGCACAACTGCATCGCAAAGAAACAGATACACGTGCACAGACAGAGAGGGAGGGTTGTATCCTGACTGACCTGCGCGACTTGGTCGACGCTGTCGGGCACCCTTGGTGCAAATGTTGATGTGGTGGTCGACACACACAGCACACTGTCGGCGCCCACACGAGCTATCGCAGCTGACAGATGCGCACAGACGGACGGATCACACAACCAAACCATTCATGCGGCATGTCTAGATGCCCACCTTCGATTGCCGGCACATCGGTGCACAGTGCATCGCCGTCACGCATCAGTGGCACCACCAGCGGCTCAAAACCTACACACACACGCGGCCATATGGTACACACAGACGTATGGTCACGCAGACGTCGTCAAGGACAACTCGCTCACTGACCAGCGGTGATGATGGCCTTAAAGCACGCCTTCTGGTCGATGCGCGACCACACGACATATCTCGCAGTAGGCGGCCCGGAGTGCCTCAGCGTCAGGTAGCACATCGTCAGCGCCATGCCGGTCGCCAGAGGCATCACCACACACGAACGGGCCGCCTGATACACAAACACATTTTGTATGAATGGGCGTTGTGTGTGTGCGTGCGTGTCTGTGGTTTCCATGCCTTGATGCCGGCCTGCTGGATGGCGTCGAGTGCCAGCTGTGTGGTCAGCTGGTTGATCAAGGACGACCCGGCCGCCTTGGGCTGCAGATCCATTATGTTGCCCGACCTGCACAGACACACGCACACAGACAGGCGGATGTGTGCACACCACAAACACTCGGCTGCTTGTATCTTGGTGTGGCTGAGTGTGAGTTGACCTGCCGATCCCGTGTGTGAGGTAGAAGTGCCTTTGCTTGACCAGCGACGAGTACACGCGGCCCTCCCTCTCACCCACGCCGACATTGCCAAGAAAATTGTTGCTGATCCACACGCACGCACCACACACACACAAACACACACAGACGTGACGGCCACAAAGCGTGTGAGCGGTGGCACCTGTCCATGGCAGCGATCTCGTGTATGAGTGCTTGTACGGTGAGGTCATCCCAGCCCTCTGATGGCAGCTTCCGATGAGTCAGCAACCTGCACACACGCACCAAACACATCGTCATCGCGACAACGGGCCGATCTGTATCCTTCCGCTTACACGCTCAGTAGCTTCGCTCGCGACCTCCTGGCCTGGTGAATGAGTGAACGAGCCAGAAGATCAGCATCACAGATCGTCATGGGTCGGCGGCCCCGTTGCCTTGGTGTGCGTCACCCACCTGCAGTGCCTGGTCGGCGTATCTCTTGCCAACGAGGCCTTCTATCAGCTCGAAGTGCTTCTCGTTCATCGCTTAATCAAAAAATCAATGGATTTCGATCGCAGCTGCTTGGATCTCAGCCTCAAGCTGCCCAGTACGTCAGATCTGTCGCTGGCGACCTGGGAGATGCGAGCTTGGATCGCGGCTCTTTCATGGAAGCCATCGATTCATCCAAATCGTGTCCAAAACTGTATGCGTTGAGCCACGATTACACTCAGCCCATTCAGTTTCTGTCCTGCCAATCCATCCACTCACACAAACACGCAGACACACACACAAAGGGACACGCGAGGGGCCATGTCAACACCACATAAACATGACGACATCTACGTGTACATGGACACACCCAGGCAGGCCAACACAGGCAACGTCAGGACACACACACACACAGGTCTGACTTAGTTCTCTGCGCCTGACCGACCTAGCGCACGGCGAAAAAACTGTCATTTACTTACGAAAGATGCGCTCGCTCCCTCTCCCAAAGCGCTCTCGTCACACAAAACCCAACACAGCGAGAACACACAGGCACACCAGACGCACACACATCCCTCCCCCCCTCCCTCCTCGAGTGGTGCACTACTGGTTGGGCGGTTCATAGGGGTGGCCTGTGAGCAGGGCCAGGCGAATCGCCTCACGGAATGTGCCAAAGTCGCGCTCTGCACTCACACAGCGATCAAGCACAATGAGTGAGCGGTGCGTGTCGCCATTAGGGCCGTTGGTACCGAATATGTCGTAGTATTGGAGGAGCATCTCGTCGAGCATCTCGTCGATCTCATCGGCAGGGAGGGCACGAGCAATCTCCAGGAGAACCTGCAGGCAAACACTCAGCCACTGTTCTTTGTCTCCTTCTCGCTCTCTCTCACCGACTTACAGGCAGGTTGAAGCCGAGCTCCATGAGCATCTCAGCGGAATACGCACCCAGGTTGTTGGCATTGAGCCAGGCCTGCAGCTGGTCTTCATCCGTGTTGTTGTAGGTGACACTGTATCCGCCGTTTGCCTGCCCGTCCTCTGGCTCAGGCTCGCGGCCATTCTGAACCACACACACACACACACACGCGAGTTTCCCATCACAAACTCTCTGTTACCCCCATTCGTTTTCACCTGATTGTTGCGGCGCAGAGGTGACGGCTGCTGGTACAGAAATGGAGCGGGCGGTGCATTCATGTTGACATGAGGGTGGGCAGGTGGGGGTGGCGAGTGGCGGCTGCTCCATGCGTCACGCACCTGACAGACAGACCACAGTAAACAAATGGGCGCCGATGAGCTCCTATGTTGCCTGTTTGTGTGTTGTCTGACCTCTCCTCTGACAACGGCCGAGTTAGCGGCACGGATGGCAGCTCTGTCCCTCTCCTGCGCTTGCCTGCCTCACACCAAAGCAACGCAGCACGGTAAGCAGCCGAACATGAGATGAGTAGGACAGAGCCGCGGCAGGGCACGCACCAGAGTCGGTTGTCCTCTTCTCGCTTCCGTCGCTCTTGCTCCATCTCAGCCTCACGTCGGTCCCTCTCTCTCTGCCGGGCCGCCCTCAGCACTGCATGGCGAAGAGGAAACATCGATGGATGGACCTCTGATGGTTTCGCTTCTGTGTGAGATGTGTAGGGCTTTCTGTGCCTACGTTGATCGTTCGTCGGCACAGGAGGGGCAGGCGGGCCAGGGGGAGGGTCAGGGCGACTGCTCCACATGTCACGGACCTGACCACAAACGGACACAAACATGACGCAGCAATCGAACGGCCGGTAGTTTCAAGAATTTTGTTCTCTGCCTCACCTCTCCTTTGACAGCGTCAGACTTGGCACGACAGAGAGGCTCCATTTCACGCCTAATGCACAAGAGACGCACGAGAAGGAAAGCACCACAACGTGACAGACATGCTATGAAGATTTGCTTCCCGTGGCGCACCATTTGCGGTTCTCCTCTTCCTGCTTGCGTCTGAACTCGGCGATCTCCTGCTCCCTCTTCTCCTTGGCGCGTTTCTGCATTGCCAACCGAGCGTCCTTCATGGCTGCACACATACACATAAGCAGACAGGGAGGGAGGCAGGAGGGTACAGAATGCATCCACGTGCGGGTGGTGTGTCGATCGATGCGTGAGCGTCCCCCTACTGTATTGGCGGGCTTCGGCCGCAGCAGCTTGGGCAGCAGACTTCTCTGCATGCACCAGGGAGGCGTACGCACAAGGCACAGACCCACGTAGGGTGATGCAGCGCGTGTTGGCCCTTGTTCGCTGCGTACCTCGCTGTGTCGTCGGCTCCGAGTTGGGCCATCCGGCAGCTGACGAGCCGCCAGTCGTCCCACCAGTGCCCAAACTAACAACGCATACACAGACAGGCAGACAACCATGCTTGGTGCTTCTAACACATGCACCCTCCTCTCCCTCCCCTGCTCACATCGGTCTGGCGCTGTTTGGTCTCTGCACCGCCTGGTTGGCTCGCATGAGGCTCTGATGCTTCTCCGGCTTGGGTGCCTGTGCGTGCAGTCCTTCACCCAGGTAGACCAGCTCGCCAGGAGGGAGAGGGGGACGCGAAGCGCCGTCAGGCGCTGTGTTGGGGTCTGGCTGGCCACCATGGTTGCCACCTGGCTGCTGCTGTGGGTGCTGGGGATGGCTGTTGGGGTGCTGATGGTTTTGGTGGTTGGATGAGGACGGACCACCATGACCATCGTCGTAGGGATAGTTGGTGTTGAACTGTTGATAGTAGCCAGACATGATGGTCAGATCTCGGGGGGAAAGAGAGTGAGCACTCCGCTTGCAGGAATAACTTTTCGGTTTAGCTACGCGGATGGCTCTAACTCGTCAAGTTCAACTTGACTCACCCCTTTGTGACTTGTTCACCCCGAGACAGACTGACGAGCACCACGCACCTCCCGTTGCAGTCCATTCTTTCCAACAACACTAAGCCTTTCAAGCCGACCACGAAATGAGATGGTACCCACGTCCTACTGCAGGTTTATTGGTCCCTGATGCCCAGTGTGAGTGCAGCTCTCATGACGTACGGCGCAGCGGCCTTGAGCAGGTCGATGTGCGGATCCAGCTGCCGCCCCAGCCCCTCCAGGATCATCACCGCCAGACACACAGACACGAAGTTGCCCTCCAGCTGCACACGGTGGCGGGAGGCCAAAGTCAGCAGCCGGGAGAGGATCTCGCCCGCACGGACCTGGCTCAGCTGCACACCTTGCTGCAGACAGTATAACACGCACCACACACACAGAGGGAGAGTGACGGTGGCGAGTGGGGGAGGTGGACGGACAGTGGTTTGCGCACCTTGAGGAAAGTGTTAAGGAGTGTGTCGACTTCGTCGACGAAGGCCTGTGGGTCGGGGCACCGCTGCTGCTTCGCCTCACGCAGTATCAGCCGACCTGGCATAACCCACCCACCCACACACACACGCGCGCGCACAGAGCACATCCACATCTGCCTCTCACCCCTCTCTCTCCTCTCTCTCCACCAGTCTGACCGGCCAGCTGCCCGTCGCCCTTGGCGAGTGCTCTGAAGAGCGACACGAAGTTGCGTCGGTCCCGCGGCTGCAGCTCCGTGACGAGGCCGCAGTCGAGGAAGACCAGCACTATCCTGGGCGGCGACTTGCCGTCTGGCCGGTCTTCGATGCGGATGAGGAGGTTGCCGGGGTGCAGGTCGGCGTGGACGAAGTTGTCGATGAACAACATCTGATCCATCGATAGGCACGTGTGGATGCATGGGGGAGAGAGAATTGGGGCGGTGGTGTGAGTGAGTGATGTCACTCACCTTGAGGAAAGCTGATATGCCCAGGTTGGCTACTCGTTTCCTCAACTGCATCATGCGCAAGAAACAGAGAGAGAGAGAGAGATGAGGGCTTCATAGATAAGGGGCGTGGGTGTGTGTGGTTCTTCTACGGACGGCAGTGTCGTCGTGTTGGTTCTGTTGATCGATCCACTCGCCGATGCGTGTGCCGTCCTCGAACCGCTCGACGAGCACCTCCGGGTGGACCCAACGGCCGTCAACCACCTCGGGGAACACCACAGTGTCTTACCAATGCCAACACACACACGCGCGCACACACACAGATGCAGAAGTGACGATGTGTGTGCAGGTGTGTGTTGTGAGCACCTCTGTCGTGTGAGCTTTGTGGAAAGAGCTGTCTGAATCGTGTGATGTGCTCGGCCTCCTCGCTCAGGTCGGCCTGCCGACTCATCACCGACGCAAACTGCTCCACACTGCACGACAGACAGACAGACAGACAGGAAGGCTGAACCATGGGTGTGGGTGTGGGTGTGGGTGTGGGTGTGTGGGTGTAAACCTGTCTCTGAGTGCGAGCCATCGGATGCTCGGGAAGACCTCCAGCAGGGACGCACCCGCACGCATCAGCTGCAGATCTGACCATCACGCACCACCCACAGCCATCCATCCATCCATCCGACGTCCGATGTCAATGGCCTCCCTCTCACCGAGTTGTATCCGCTCTGCGATCCCCGGGTGCGCCACCTTGACGGCCACGTCGACCCACCCGTCACTGCCACTGTCACTCGAGTGCTGCTGCCGCAGACGACCTCGGTACACCTACTAACACACACACACCCACCAAACACCACCACACACACGTCGTCACAGTCAGCAGCAGAGTGGCTTAAAGCGCGCTGACGAGTGTCGACTCACTTGCGCGACACACCCTGAGCCGATCGGCCTGGGCAAACACACAACGCAGTGTCATTCCTCCATTTGTCTGCTCGTGTTCATCATCATCTCGCTCGCTGACTCTTTGTCGACGATTTCGAGGGATTCCCGCCATGAGGGTCCAAAGGCATGGGTCAGCACATACTCGGTCGCACGCAACGAGTGAGGCGCCACCGAACAGTGAAACCTGACGCACACACATATACACACACACACACACACACGGATGCATGTGTGTGTCTTCCTCTTTTCCCAGCTGTCATCTCACCGAGCGCATCTCTGGCAGATGTCGGCAGGGAAGAGGTCAGGCCGTGTGGCGGCCCACTGCATGAACTTGATGTAGCACGGGCCGCACCGCTCCACCGCCCAGTACACGTACCGCCACGACACATCCTCCACCCACACAGACAGCCGGGCCAGCGGCACCAGCACCACCAGCGGCGACGCCAGACACGCCATCTGCACCGCCTTGACCACCAGCCGCAACGCGTACCACACGTCCTCCCATAAACCCAATAGACGCCGCTCCTCGTCCAGCAGGCTCGATGCATCGATCACCACAGCAGCTGCTGCAGACTCGCATTTGGCCGGTGATCTCCTGGGAATGGGCTCAAATCTCCTCCCTGATGGCAGCAAGATGACGAACGGTGAGCCGAGAGCCAGACAGAGATAGCGAGGCTGGCGATGGATTCTTGGATGAGGCTTGGTCGAGATGCGACGAGGCAACGGACGTCTCCGAGGGATGAGTCTGGTCAGCCTGGGTGATCGAGGGAATGTCCGCATTGTTGAACTTCTCGCAGATCTGCAACACCACCGCCAGCTGGGGTTCATGTGAAGGGTTTGGGTTTCAGGGTAAGAAACCCGCGTTTCCCGCAATGGCTCTCTCCTCCCTCACCGTCCGGTCTCCCGCCCTTCGTGTCCGCACTCTCAGACGGACATCGCCATTCGACCAAGCAGATCTTCGTCCCTCTGCCTTGGTGCATCACTGACATCCAACGCCTCTTGACCTTGCAGACAAACCTTGCACTGCAGCAGCCAGCCACTGTCAGCCACCTCGATCATGCCGGCCTATCCCTCGGTTGACCAGCCTTCTCTCGCCCCGCCTCAGTCTCAGCCCGGCAACTGCGAGTGGCCATCGATATCCGCCAACAGCGCTACTCCGCCGGCGTACGGCGCACCCCAGACGATGCCGGCTGCTGTCGGCCAGCCGCCGGCGACCCCAAACACAGCCGGGACGCCGTCAAGTGGTGATCAGCCGCAGTATGAGCAGCCGCAGTTAGTGGATGGTGCACATGTGATCCCTTTGGGCTTCGTGCCGGAGCCGCAACAAGAAGACGAAGATGACAAGTCGTGGACGCTCTGCCAACAGGTGAGACCGATAGACCGATGGACAGGGAGGCAGGCAGCAACGAAGCAACCGCGCACCCGACTTGCAAGGCGTGTTGTTGTGTGTGTGTGTGTGTATGTGTGTGTTGATCCATATCAGGTGACGTGCGTGTTGGCGATATTCTTGCCCATCATTGGCTTCGTCGCTTTCTGCCTCAACCTGAACGCTAAGAAGGGGTCGCAGAGGCAGAAGTGGGCCCTCTGTTGCCTCTACACAGCCATCTTGATGATTTTGCTGGCTGGCAGCATGTATCTCGGGAAGGTGTGGGTTGACAGGAACTTTAACTACGACCACTTGACAGAAAACCCCATGTTTGACCCCCGAAACAGATCTCCCATGAACACGCAGACCATGTTTGTGACTGACTGAGTGACGGACTGGTCGGTCGATGTACATAGAGCCTTTGCAGAGGACCATATGTGCCTGCCTTCCTGCTTCTGCATGTAGCCTTGCATCAAAGAATGGTGCGTCTTGATGAGACTTGTGGGATTGAAGAGGTTCGGCAGTATCCACTCTCGCATGTAGAAAGGGACATGCCTCCACTCGTGGACAAGGGTTTGGGTTTCAGGGTAAGAAACCCAGTCACCTGCTCGCTTATCTCTCCGTCCCCGGTCTCCTCGCCCTTGTGTCGCACACTAGACGGACATCGCCATTCGACCAAGCAGATCTTCGTTCCTCTGCCTTGGTGCATCACTGACATCCAACGCCTCTCGACCTTGCAGACAAACCTTGCACTGCAGCAGAGCAGCCAATGTCAGCCACCTCAATCATGCCGGCCTATCCCTCGGTTGACCAGCCTTCTCTCGCCCCGCCTCAGTCTCAGCCCGGCAGCTGCGAGTGGCCATCGATATCCGCGGACAGCGCTACTCCGCCGGCGTACGGCGCGCCCTCCATTGCACATGTGATCACCGTGCCGGAGGTGGTGGTGCCGGAGCCGCAACAACAAGACGAAGATGACAAGTCGTGGACGCTCTGCGCGAAGGTGAGATCGATGGACCGATGGACGGGCAGGCAGGCAGGCAGGCAGCAACGACGCAACCCCCCACCCAACTTGCAAGGCGTGTTGTGTGTGTGTGTGTTGGCGATCTTGTACATCAGGTGTCGTGCGTGTTGGCGATATTCTTCCCCATCATTGGCTGCTTGGCTTTCTGCCTCAACCTGGACGCTAAGAAGGGGTCGCAGAGGCAGAAGTGGGCCCGCCGCTGCCTCGCCACAGCCACCATCATGATCGTACTGGCCGGCCTCTGGTATCTCTCTATCCTTCTGGCTGTCAGGCGGCAGCAGCAGATCTGTGACTACCTGCACAGTTTGATGACGAACCGAACCTGTTGGTGACGAAAATGAAATCGAAATCGTCACTTCGGGGTGTGTAGATGAGTTCGATAGGACTGTTAGCTATAGGTGAGACACACCATTGCTTGTTGCTTGTTTTGAGTGAGTGAGTGAGTGAGTGATGTCGATGGGTGGGTGCTGGGTGATTGAATGGATGGATGGCTGCAAGTGGTGATCATGAATCAGTGAGTATCAGCGATCAGTGAGTATTGCTCATGATTGAGCTCCACCAATCCAAGGCACTCACACCACACGAAGAACGAATGAATGAACAAGGTCCCACAGATGCGATTCGTCCATGTGTGTATCGTATTCGCCTGTCGACAGTCGATCGACACCTATGGTTTTGTAGATATTGCGTCGTTTTCATCCTATAGGGTGGGTGTGGGTGTGCAACCGGGGCTGTCCTGCCTGGTTGGATGATAGCCTCTTCCTTCGTGTGCTCTGGAAGTGGATGGTGAGGGTGGGTGGTCTGGGTTTCGGTTGCCGGAGTTTTTCTCTGACGACTCGACTTTCTCTGGGTGTTCGTGTCCAAGGCGTGTCTGTGGCTGAGTGACGGACTGGTCGGTCGATGTACATATGTGCCTGCCTTCCTGCTTCTGCATGTAGCCTTGCATCAATGAATGGTGCGTCTTGATGAGACTTGTGGGATTGAAGAGGTTTGGCATCCACTGCAAAGAGAGAGGGTTTGTTTGCGTGCACACCCAACCATCCATCCATCCATCAATTCACCAACACCAGCCATCCATCGTGTGCAATACTATTCACCGTACAAAAAGGCGTGTCGTACGTTGGCTGCATCTCTGTGCTGCCTCCCACATACAGCCCAAGCACATCTCATACACAGAGTGACGTTCTGCGATGAATCGACAGGCTAGAGCCAACACCAATCTTGTATGTGCCAAACAAAACAAAAACCAAAACCAAACAAACACAAAACACATTCCCTCCTCGACAGACAGATATCCTATAAAATGCTGATCAGCTGCAATTGAATGTACTTGGCGCCCTCGACTGCATGAGGGAGTATGATGTGCCTGATTTCCCCCACACGCAACGACAGCGACGCCCCACGCACCCACCTGGATACCTCACACATACTCCCCACCTCCCCACGGTAATCGTAGAATACGTCTCGGCCGCCAAGTCGTACCTCACCGTCGAGTCGACACGCGGTGTTCTGCCGGTGCCCGCCGTGACGGTGCGGTAGCGCACACCAGTTGGCAGCATCAGGATGAAGCCATCATTACTATACAGCGACAGAGACGACAAATTGCAAGGCCGGCCTTCCAGTGCTGCTTCTCATGTGTGTACCTGGGCTGCTGTGCCTGGAGTGCCGCTGGGGTGTCATTCCTGACGATGCCGTACATGGCCGCGTTGACATCGAATGCCCTCTGCGCCCGCGGGTCGGTCAGCTGCAGCGGCACACGCGCCTCATCGTCGGACGCGCCATGCCGTTTGCGGCGGTGGTGGTCGATGAGTCGGCTCATGTGGTCGGGCGGGACGTGCACGCCTTCGTGCACTGAGCTGCCCCACCTGAACAATGGGCACACACATGTGAAGCGCCTAAGTGCATATCGCCATTGTGCTGCGTTTGCTCACAGTGATTCCGTGTTGCGTCTTTTGAGGGCCATCTCCTCCGGGATGGAGTCGATAGTTGATTGACACGTCGAGATGACTTCTCCGCAGACATCGACAGAGCGGATGAGGTCACTGCCATCCATGGGTGCCAGGAAGGAGCTAGCGGCCTGCTAAAACAGACGACATCCAGATGAAGCTCGTGGGCTGCCTGTCACTCACCTGTATTTCTGCCTCGTGTTGCTCATATCGGATCTTCTCTGCGCGGAGCTCTCCCTCGAGCTTGCTCTTCTTGTCGTGGTAGGCCTTGAGCACGTCATTGAGGGCCGTGACGAGTCCGCTGGCCGTGGTGGGGATGCCCCCCGCCGTCACTGATGGCGGCCGCCCGACCGCCGGCTGCGGGCGGTAGCCCTTCCTGGCAAGTTGCCCTTCTTGGACAGGCGACAGCAACTTCTTGATTCAAAAATCGTTCAAACCTACAAACAGATCGGGAAGGGGTGTACACGCAAGCCACGTGTGTATGAGAGGCGTCAACACATCTGTTTGCCTTTGTGTTGACGCCTCTCCGCCCCGGTGAGCAGATGAGAGTTCGAGAACCCATCCCGCTCGCCCTCGCGTGTCGCCTGCTGGATGGTACTCGCCCCAAGATGGTCTTGTGGACAATCCTGAAGGCCTCCGCGTCCACATCAAGGAAGACACGCTGCTTGTCGTCTTTGATGAATCGGTTGTCGAGCTTGCCAGAGAAGAGCACGGCCAGCAGAGTGCCCTCGACGCCCTCTCCCTCCGTCATGTGCTTGCGTTTGACGCTCATCTCACTGCCGCCCACATTCAGCAGCAGCACGTCGACAGACGAGGCCGCCGATCCCTCAGCAATGCCGTGTTTCTGCTTCAGCTGGTTGATGCTCTCGCGTGTGGCGGTGATCTCTTGCTGCAGCGGCTGGATGCTCTCGCAGAGGGTGGCGGTCGGCACTTGAAAGTGCGAAAGAATCGCATGCTCAGTCAGGCTGTCACTGTCCATTGCCCTCGTAACGACGCTCTGCGTGAAGGATCAGATCAGCGGATGCATGCACTCGTGAAAAAAGCCGAAATCGTCTCTGCGTGTCCTGTGTGTCCCTCACCTGTGGAAGACCGTCTGCCGCCTTTGCTGTTTGTTGGCTCACGAAGCGAGATCTGCACCGAGATCTGCAACAGACAAGAGAGATCTTTCTCGGTTTTCAGTCTGTTGTGGCCTGCCTTATCACCTCACCTCCACCTAAGCCGTGTACCTGTTTTGAAGAATTGCCCCAGGAATTTGTTGTGTGAGGCGGAAGGGTTTGGGTTCAAGGGTAAGAAACCCGTCACCCAAACCCTTCTTTCTTCGTGCTTCCTTCTCGGCACGGACAGGAATGGATTCATGGATAGAGGTGCTGGAGTTTCCCTCTGCCTCTCGCGACCCTCAGGCGCACAAGGCGTACACCACCGTGCTGACGGAGGGCGCACTGGACTTCCTGCGGCGGCTGGTGAGCACATTTGAAGATGACGTCAACCAGCTGTACCGCGACAGAGCCAACAGACACACGGTCAGCCAACATACAGCGAGTCATGATGCATCCGTCGTCGGGCGGCATCGGCGTGTGTGATTCTGTTGCTTGTGATTGCGTGTGTGTGATTGTCAGGCCTATCAGGAGGGCCGTGGTCCTTCAGAATTTAGCGCTGCAACCGCACAAACCAGGTCAGCCTCCAGATCACGACACACTGACCCACATGTCTGTCTGCCTGTCTGTCTGTCTGTCTGTGATGTGTGCAGGTCGTCTGATTGGAGGATAGCCCCCCTGCCAGCGGCATTGCTCGACCGCCGAGTGGACATCGGCGACGTCGACCCCTCCAATGGACCTCTACTGCGAAATGCCATGCTCTCCGGCGCACAGGGCGTGCAGGTCAGTCACAGCCACTCATTCGCATGACAGTCGTCGAGCCTGAAACAATCAGCGTCTGTGTGTGTGCGTGTGTGTGTGCAGGTTGACTTCGACGACGGCTTCTGTCCGTCGTGGCGGAATGTGCTGATCGGTCACCTCAATGTGGCCAACGCGGCCAGGGGTCAGCTGCCGGGCGACCAGGAGGGCCACACACGTGCGGCCACAGACGGCACCTCCACCGTCATGATGGTCCGGTGAGTCCGTCGTTGTCAAACACATTGTTGTCTGGATGGACACGCCGCTGATTGGTTGTGCTGTGTTGTGCTGTGTTGTGCTGTGTTGTGCTGTGTTGTGCTGTGTTGCAGCCCTCGTGCATGGAACATGATCGAGGCAAATGTCATGGTCAACGGTCAGCGCCATGCCGAGCCAATGACTGACATCGGTGACATCTCTCTCTCTCCCTCCCTGTGTATATGTGTGTGCAGGTCGTCGCGTTAGCGGCGCCTTGTTCGACTTTGGCATGTTTGTCTTCTCGTCCGGCCGACACCTGGCGGAACTCAGCAGGGGACCATTCCTCTACCTCTCAAAGGCACCACACACATGCACACCAAACAAGCAGAGGGATGCACTCATTTGACAAGTGGGTGGTTCGTCTCGTTTCTGTGTCTGTGTGCTGCAGCTGGAGAGTGCGAGTGAGGCCGCTCTGTGGGACAGGATCTTCACTTGGACAGAGGAGGCCCTCGACATTCCCGCAAACACAATCAAAGGTGCGATTGGTGCACGGAAACGACACACACATACAGAGAGAGGGAGAGAGAGAGGGCGATGAGCGTTCTGTGTGTGTATTGTTTGGTTCAGCGTGTGTGTTGATTGAGAGTCTGCCGGCAGCCTTTGAGATGGACGAGATGCTGTGGGAGCTGCGGAACCACTCGGCCGGCCTCAACTGCGGCATGTGGGACTACGCGGCCTCATTCATCACACGCATGGGCCACGACAGACGCAAAATTTTCCCTGATAGAAACCGGTGGGTAAAGGTGGGCACCATCGTGTTGGAGAAGGGCGCACACGGACGGCATCAGTGTGTGTCTGTGTGTGCATCTGTGTGTGTAGTTATGTGTCGATGGATCGTCACTTCATGAGGAGCTACCGGAGGAAGGTCATAGCCACCTGCCACAGGTACACACACATCACACGCACACTGGCATCCATGGTCCCCTCCGTCCTGACTCGCTCAGGCGCGGCGCCCCCGCCACTGGCGGCATGTTCGCTGGCGTCGACGACGGCTCACTCACCACACACGACAAACAACTGCTGGTACACACAAACCACCCACACACATGCCTCAAGGCCCTTGGACAAAGTGATTACCTACCTGTCTGCTGTCTGTGTGTGTGTTGGGTGTGTTGGCTCTGCAGGTGAGTGCGTGTGTGTCAGCCAAGGAGGGTGACGCCTTGGCGGGTGCGGACGGTGCGCTCGTCTACGACCTGTCGCTGGTGCAGCCCGTCCAGGACGCATTCGCCAAACACTTCGCAAAGGGGTAGGGTCGGTGGGATGCCTCTCAACGCCACGTCAGGGAATCATTTGTCTGTGTGTGGTGTGGTGTGTTACCCAGGTGTCCGAATCAGCTGTCGTCTTACGCTGCTCGAGATGCCGACACCGTCACGGCGCACGACCTGCTGCAGATACCCACAGGCACGCTGGCGTGAATTACAACAGGCACACAGAAGGTCCCATCCGCTCTCCCTCTCTCTCACTCTCTGTTTGTATGTGTGCAGAGAGTGACGTCTCTCTCGATAGCCTCCGCACCAACATAGAGGTCAGTGAGCCAGGAAGAGACGGCCGTCACGTTACACGTGTCTGGTCTGCTGTGTGTGTGTGTGTAGGTGTGTGTGCGCTACGTCAAGGGCTGGCTGGAGGGGCGGGGCCACCTCATTATGAACGGCAAGGTAGAAGACTCCGCCACTGCTGAAATCTCACGGGCACAGGTACCACCAGGCCCCCGACCCCTCCACACCGTGGACGCACCCACGACGACCGATGTGTGTGTGTGTGTGCCTCTGTCCGTCAGATCTGGCAGCAGATCCGCCACGGCGTGCCTTTCGAGTCGCCCCCCGCTGCCGTCCCTGACGCCGACAGCCACTCCCGCGCGCCCCTGTCCGTCGTCACTCACAAGCGACACAAGGCAGCTGCTGCAGACAGAGTCACCGCACCGCTCGTCAGGTATGTCTCTCACACCAACACCCCCCCACACACGCGCCTGCCAATGGAATGGCTGATCTCTCTGTGTGTGTGTTGTGCGTGTGCAGAGAGTTGATTCGCGAGGTGGTGTGTGACCTCAATGCGGCTGAGGGGCATCCTCAGGAGGGCGGTGATGGCACCACCACCTCCACCCCCAGCACGATTAGCAGCAGTGCGGACGAGGCGGGCGATCTGGTGGCGGATTTAGTGACGCTTCGCGAGTGCCCGCTGTTCATCACCACCTACTTAGAGGAGCAGCGCATTCTCAGGAGGGGGGCAGACAGACCCAGCCATGCGAAGCTCTGACCTGGCTTGATGCACAGCTGGATGGATATGCATGGATCGTGACACTGATGACTGCATGGCTGACTCGTCCATCCCTTAGCTCGGTTGCAGTGATTTAAATGGCGGTTTGAGGGCCCGATGTGTGCATACGTAGGTCAATTCAATTCATACTCACACACACACACACATATAGCAGTCGAGCACACACACTCGTTGACAGCCGCTGCACGCAACACATGTGCCCATCCATCCATCCGTCCATTTATCCGCTAGTGTCTATCCACAATCAACGACAGAGATTCGATCGGCTGTTTTCCCCTCCGCCCCGCCCGCAGCCACCAATGCTCGATCCAACAGCAAGGCAGGCTGGGGATGTCTACGGCTACCTGACACCGCAACACACACACGGACAACAGACGACAAAGTAGAAGCACACACGTGCCGTTCCTGTCCGCCCTGTCCGTTCCCTCTCACCGGCTGTGATATCATCTATGTGCGTGTCTCGACGGTGATGGTGTCGTCCTCCATGGTGATGGTGTACGGTGTGCACAGCAGGTTGAACACCGCCAGGTGCGTGTTGAACAGCCGCCGCACGCCCTCACGCACAGAGCCGCAGAGGAATGCAGAGGCCTTGCTCACACCGGGTCGCGAAATGATGCCGACGAGCGACGCCATCACCGAGCCGTACAAGGCCTCCATCGAGTCGTCCTCTCCTAGCCCGGCTGCACACAGCAGCCAACATACATAGAATGTGATGCGTGTGTTGCTCAGGTGGGCTATCTACCTCGTGTGGCCCTGCTTACCCATGACTCTGATGCAGACGTCGTCGATGGCCGGCAGGTCGTGGCTGGCCCACAGCTGCAGCGGCCGGCTACGATGTAAGATGCCAGTCACCGACACCTCGATCTTCACCGACAGGCGCCTCTCGCCCTCGCCCTCGCCGCCCCCCTGCCCCTCCTCTGTGGCCATCTGCCTCTTGAGTGACTCCAGGAAGGCCACAGCATTCTTCGGCGCGTCCTGGTGCACCTCGACATCATCCACGAAGTCGATGGTGCTGCACCGGGACATGTTGGCGACCGTCTTGGCCAGGCCGCTCCGCACCGGTGGAAGCAGCTCTCTCGGCGAGCAGCGGAATGTGGTGGCGCTGGGGAAATATGCGGCCGCGTGTGCGGCGGCGTTGGGGTCGGTGAGCTCGTCCTCATACTCCACTACGTCAGCGACAGCGGCAAACTCACGGACGAGCTTCTGCACCTGCTTGCACACAGACAGACCGCATTGGGGGCAATTGTGCCTGAAGGTGTTGAGGCGCAGCCGCCCGTGGTGTCTTGGCTACCTGAGGTCTTTCATTGGCCATCCACTCGATGAGCTCCAGCTCCATCTCGAGATGGTCTGCCTTCTTGACGACCTGCGGCTGGCTGAGGGCCTCCGGCTGCAGCACTGACTCCGACAGCGACGCCACTTCCCGCAGCACATCCTCGTGCGCAGCTCTGATCGTCCACCCGTCGATGGGCAGCTTGCGAAGGGACTTGCGGCATCCCCGCTCCACAAGGGCCTGCCGCAGGTTGGCCGCTGTCCGGTCATCCTGACCACTCTCCAGCAGGAGAGTGCCGATGGACCGCAGGCGGGCGAGGGAGGCGCCGGGGGGCGGCATGCGCAGCAGCTCCGCCTTGGTCTCGAAGGTGCCGTCGTCGTCAAATATCTCCAGATGCTCGCATGAGGCCATCCACTCCCCGATCGCGC